ACTAGGTTATGTGCTTCCTGTTGTTGTACTAGATATTCCAATCTTTTGATTTTGTAAGCAGTTACACCCATGACACAACCTAGCAACTTCCTTCATTTGCCTTGTATACCACATCAAAACCCAGTGATTACGTTTCTAGTGTAAAAAAAGATTTGTAATATAAGAATCTTCAATGAAAAAAATGGAATTAAACAGTTAGAAGGTTTAATGGATCCATGTGATTTAAAGCGTCGACACATGGATCCAAAATTTTCAGTCTACAACAGAATACAATACAGAACAGCTGTATTCATCCGCAAAAAAAAATAGTACCTAAAATTCATGTACATTATATAGGTTTAAACATCAAATGAGGTCAAATGAATAGAGACGTCTTTAATATATACTAAAAATTCGTATCATCCCAAATCGACAATAAAACAGTGAGAAAAAGGAAAATCTAAGTAATGACAATCTAATTAACATAAAATTTACGACATAATCGATTCTTCAATGTTTTGATGGTGATCATGAAGAAAATACATCTGTTCTCAGGAATCCGATAAGATTTTCAAAAAAAAGATCACTAGAACTATAGATTGTTATTCCACAAAGTCGAAAGGTATGTTAGATTTTTCATTCAGTCAAGTTAGAGCGAGTTTATTGCCGTCCTTTGAGCTCCAAACCCGATAGAAAGGAATGCGGAAGTGGCCATAATAGTTTTAGAGATCACTACGTGATGGCGCTCCTGCGTCGCGACAAACGGGGCAAATTTGTCTAGTAACTCAATAGTCAAATCAATGGATGAGCTTGGGTTTAATATTCATTCATTACGTTTTCCTTTGTTTTCTCAAAATAAGAAAAAAATAAGTTTATAGTTTTTACCTTTTGACGGGAGATAAGCTTCCTATGCTGGCTTTTTGAGTTATACCACCGGGTGCTAGGAACTTTGCGGTAGTATAACTCGATACGCCAACATAGAAAGTTAATGAAATTTGGCATGTGCATACCTTAGGCCTATGCATCTTTCCATTTAGTGAAATAAAGATATTGAAGCCACCAAAGCTAGTTTAGAAATTATTGCGTGTGCAGTGAGTCTACCCCAACCCGATTCCTTCATATGTTTAGTATGTTTACGGTAATATATCTCGAAACGCCAACATAGGAGCCTTCTGTAAGTTTGCATTCTAGTAATTTATTCATCTCTTGATTTCGTGAAACAAAAAACATTTTCCCACCAAATCTGGTTTAGGTGCTTATTGATGCAAAATGGACTTAACCTTTTTTTGCATGCTCAGTTAGCCTAGTGTGCGATATTTTAGTATGTTTACGATAATAGCATATTTTGGGGTGTGGGGTGGGGTCGGGGGATCTAATACATATATACTTTGCATTAATATGTTTTAGAATTTTACTTACTTATATGTAATATATATTATGTAACAATTATTTTCGTGATAATTATATCTAGTTTTTTGTTGGCGCTAGGAATATGTGTGCTAACTTGATCTCGAATCCGAGTGCTGGAATACGGGTGAGAGAATATTTGTGCTAACTTGATCTCGAATCCGGGTGCTGGAATACGGGTGAGAGATCCTGCTCGGTATTTCCCTTGGTACTTTTTTTTTAAAAAAAAATTTTTTTTTCATTTCAGTTTTTGATTTACATTTATTTTACTTTGTTTTTATCAAAAACGATTTTAATTTAGATTTAATTTAATTTAAATTATTTTTTTATTTCATTTAATTTACATGTAATTTATTTTTTATTTTCGATTTCTTTTTTGTTATTTTTTAGCAAATTTTTATTTTCATTCAAATTTATGTTTACAGTTTAATATTTGTGGTTGATTTTTTACACATTTCTCTATGATAACCATGGGCCACCATAATTAGCTACTCTTACCAGTAAGAGAGAATAATCTGCGAGACGTCTAAATAAATTGGTAATTGTTCTACCATAAGTATGACGTTTTATAGTATAATGTTGTTGGCCTATGTGCAGTCGTGTCACTGCAATAAAAACTATTCACTGCCCCCTAGCCTTTCAATACAGGTGCTTTTCCACAAACATTAAAGGATATTTATGTTCAGTCTTGGAAATATATCGAAAACGGAAGAACGATTAAGAATTGATATAAGTGACCCTATTTATAGCCAGGGCATACAAGTTAGAGATAGGGTTTAAAGATAGAGATGTACGCGTAAGCATAAAAATAATCTTTAGCTCCCAGGAAAGGAAAGGGGTTCACTAGTCTGCGGGTGCTCTAGTCCGCAGCTTCCGCGGGTGCACTAGTCCGCAGGTTGCCCAGGTGCACTAGTCCGCCTCTATAAAAAAAAATACTATAAATAATAAAAAAAAAATATGGGTATAAAAAAAGACACGAGGTGTGGTGGCTGATTGGTATCATGTCGTTGTGTCGTCCTTCATAAGGCAGGACAAAGGGCCTGGCAAAGAACAGAGTCTAGTATTGTAGATAGGACACAAAAAACCCCAACAACCTCCTGTGTACACATTGGCGTGCACATAAAAGAATCTTTCACAGTTGAAATTCGATGAAGAAATGTCACGGTCCATTGGAAATTTCCGTCAGACCACTCTGCATGGCGTATGCCTCTCTTCAATAGTCCGATTGGTTCGGAAACGTAGGAAAATGAAATGAAATGAAATGGGGTTTAACGTGCAACTGTTCTGCTCCGGGAGCCACAGTGGCTAAGTGTGTAAGACGCCTGTTCGCTAGCCTTGACGCCGGCGTGGTTTCTCCTTGTCAGGGGCGCAGGAAGGAGGGTCTGGCAAGGAGAGCTGTCTAGTCGTTCGGGCTAGCGAGCCAGCGTCTTACTCACTTAGCCACTGTAATGTCATTTTTAATGTCGTGGTGTCGGTGAAAATGTCGTATTGTCGAGTTAAAATGTCGTGATCAGTTGGTTGACTTAAAGGAGCTAAATCGCTAACATTTGGGACCTAGAAATTGACAAAAGTGGGTCGCAACGCATATAATATGTAATATGAATGTATATAAACTGATTTACAATCAATGGTTTCCGTTTTTACTCCAATTTCAAATCTGTTATGTTCGGCGAAATAAGCCAGCAGTCTCAAGCGAGCGCAAATTTCTAGCGTCTGGTTATTCCAGTCACATACGCCGTTTGATTTGGTGCAATGTGTCTAGACTCGTCCATCGAGTCTCTTGATGCAACTGGGGCTGAAGCGCATTATGGTACACGATTCGTGTACCAATGGTAAAATGTTTATTTTGTCTTAAATATTGGATATCAAAAGCCCATCTTTTCCCGGTAAGATCACAACATGAATGTTGATTTAATTTGACAAATAAATCGTGTTTTCAATGTTGAAGATTTTGGATGATATTGAGTTAGAGACTTAGCTACTTTAATACACATATTAAATCGATTCAATATAGACATTATATGTCGAATTAATATGTATATTAAATTATCTTTATGTTCACTTCCGCCAGCCATACCCGTGAATAGGGAACTGCGTAACAATATCATTAGGCTTTTTAAAGCTTTAAACAGAGCTCCAAATTGGACCAAATGTTTACATAACGGTACGTCATGACTCAATGCATAGCAGAATATTGCATAAAAACTAATTGCGTGACAAACGGATATACGGTGTAAACAATACTGTTTGGAGACGAACACTACTTTCACCGTTTATAATACCTTAAATCACAGTCCAAATTTTTAGGGAAGGCCTCTGATTAAACGAAGGGCTGTCATGTTGTACTTGGGATAGATTTGATTGAACGGGAAGAACAGACACACTCCCTCAAAAGCTCAAGTATCAGAAACCAATCCAGCAATGGCCAGAGAGGGATTTCTCGGGGCATTGCTTCAGGAATATGGTGCACCTGTGGACTAGCGAACTCGCGGACTAGTGAGCATTCCCCCAGGAATGAAAGAACAGGTAAAAATTATATCAGTGGGGTTCTTCTTAGTCACAAGTTTTTAAGCCTTCACACTAAAACTGAACTAAATGAATGATACAATGCACACATGTCTGATAAATACATAATAATGATGCTGCATCGTTAAACGTATACAAAATGTTCAAAACAGACAATAAATATTACATGTACATTTTGATTGAGTGCAAGCATCTCAAACATATAAGATCGCATTTTTACCGTTGCCAGTCATTACATCACATGTTTGCCCAACCGAGTTTATATAACAAAGTGTTAGACTTTTTAAAAGAGACGGGATTTTATCATAAATTTTAATTGTGTATATTATATATATATATATATATATATATATATATATCCAAAATTATTAGCACTACCGCAATGCTGCGCTACTTTGTTTCACGGTAAAAGATGAAAAGATAAAAGGTATGCCGACACAAACTGATTTCAACACTGGTTATTTTAACATTTTAAAGTACTTTTCGTCCGTCTTCGGACTATTCATTAATAACGTCATTTTATTTTTGTTTTTAAATATGTGTATGCATATGCATATAATTTTTTTCTGTGATATAATCTAGCATATCTCGAAATAATCACCATTATGTTTGGCGCAATATAGCCCGGTTGGAACTGACGTGCCATAAAACAACATTTCATGTCATTAAATATTAACTGTGTATAATTACAGGCCCACGTTTAAATATAATTTGATACTTTTGAATAATTTGTATGTTAATCTTGTGGATGCTGTTATCAGTGGGTTTTTTTTTCTATTTGTATAGTTCAACACTCAAGATGTGTAATAATTATTATTATTATTATTATTCACAGAATAAAATTGGGGTTATCTCCCTTCCATTATCGTAATGCCAAAATTTTTAAAACTTTATTTTGCTCACTCCCGTCATTGAGTCATTCTATAACTTTTATTATGTAAACCCGCTACAATCCGTGCTCCCTTTCCCAAATACATAGTGATTAATACACTCCTTAATCAGTAAGCATGGAAAAGGTTTCAGGTAATATTCGAGATTTACAGGTGTATCAAAAACTGACAAGGTTGATGATGGCCAATCGGGTTGTAAATTAAGTCACGTGACTACAGGTTTGCAGCTTGAGTCATGTTTGTCACAAAAGTAGGCTAATAATAATAAAAGTTTATACAGGTAAATTAGTTGAAATATGTTTTTTTGGAATGCATTTTTATGACGTTTTATAAGATTACTTTAAATAGCATTCTTTGTGCGAAGCAAACGTTATATCAAAGCTTGTTTGTAAGTTTTATTGGTGAAAACAAGCGTGGAATGCGTCGGTCAAAATCCAAGATGGCGACATGATTTTGTTGATATTATGATAACTTACTGAACTTATTGACAAATAGTTCCCTTTTTAAAAACAAAACTACTCGTCGGCTCATTTATAGACTTATATTTTTGAGTACCTATATATTAATACGAAGTGTTTCGAGCCACTTTATTACATAGTCATGACGGATTAAATTAGGTTTGTTTCAATTTGTTATGCTTTTTTTTTAAAAGTTCAAGTGAAGTAGACTACCGGTGGTAGGGTAGGAATAGATTATTGTATGAACTCATTTGTTTCTGGTCGTTAACCGCTATAATACTCATCTTGTTCTTCTTGTTACTTCTTCTTCTTGGTTTTCTTCTTGTTTTTGAGGGTGATACTTTTCGAATTCTGTCTTTACAAATTACAGAGTGATACTGATAGCTGTGTTAAAACTATGTTAGTATGTATTCTCAACATTATGGCCCGTACCAGGTTGTCATTGAGTCAGCTGGCGTGGTTTTGATTCCCCAGGTATATGTGACAAGGAGTAGTGTCGCCTGTCCAATTTCGTGTGTTTCCTCTGGGTCCTCCGGTTTCCTGCCACAGCTAAAGACCCCTACGCGCAAGTAAATTATTGAAATAAAATTAAACCATGTGTTTGTTACGAAATGACCTAGTTTCCTAGTTTGTGAGGAGTGGGCGTTAAACTCTCTCTCTCTCTCTCTCGCTCTCTATAGTACTCTCGCTCACTCTCAATCTCCCTCATTCTCACTGTTCTAGTTAGTGTGGATTCAAACAAACCTAGGCTGCCAATCCATTCCTTACAGTGTCCCAGCAGTTACAAAATGTGATACATTATGCTTGTTATATGTTCTGTTCGGGTGAAATTTATTACGGATCAACTGTCTAAATAACAGAATTTGCCATGGTCGCCACCCAATTTTCATGTTAACAATCGTAGGCCCAATAATTATTAGACCTGTAGTACTAGTAGCTACATGTAGGCTAACTACATGATGTAGTGGTCAATTCCGCACCATGACTTTAAAAAGAGTTAGGAGTCCTGAGTGGCCCTACCGGACAATAAGTAGGCCTAAATGATTCAAAACATCTAAATGCACTACATTTAGTCTCTTTAATACATCTGATTTAAGGTGCATCATCTCATCCTTGAATGGTAGATTACTTAAAGATACATTCCCACGTACAAACTTTGTGATTTGATGATATATTTGGACTAAAAACATATTCAACGTAACCAATCTATCAAATATTTGCTTCAAATTCCCTCTCAAAACTTTGTATTCAACGGGGATACCTATAGCTATATAAGTAAGCTGTTGTTAGATGCAGTGTCAGTCAACTTAGCTTCATTGTGGGAGGGTCCATTTTTCAGAATGTATTTATCATTATGCTGTACATTTACCGTACATATTGAGGCCTAAGTAAATTCTTAATTATTTCTGTCAACTTCTTTTTCCCCCGTTTATTTGCAGAGTCTTTTGTACGTTGACACCCCACAATGTTCCTAAAACTGCCTAAACATTTGATCAAGAAATAACAACCGCTCTCTCACTTAAGCTGGCACACAATAAGCTGGCAGATAACAGTCGGGTTGCCAGTGAGTGATACCCTGACGATTTTGCCCAGTGCTTGCCCCATTGGCATTTTTCGGGTAATCCAGTATTTTTCTAGTAAGATTCCATATATTCCAAATTTGACATACTATAACCACCCGATAAATACTTTTCTGGGAAAGTATCTTTAATACTTAAAATGACGTTAATGACATCAATGAATGACATAGTGATGTGACATTACTGACTATGATGACTTTCCTGACGTGACATTACTGACTATTATCCAGACACCGCAAAACACAGGTTTCCATTTCCAGATGAAGACTGACAGGTTTAAGTTGTTTGAAAACATATCACAAATATATTTAAGTTGCTCGGCCCTTAGGTAGAGGATTTTAACGGTTTTATTAACACAAAATTAAGCAGTTTTATTCTCCAAAATATTATCGGGATAGGCCCTTTAACTAACAGTATTTTCATTCAAGATAAGATTATAGTACTGGTATTTACAATTTATCATTTTGAAAAATATAAAATAAGTGAATAGGATGCAGTAACAAGCAAAATGAATGCTTATATAAAACTGTTTGAAGTTATTAAACCATATCTAAATGTTCTTGAGATGATACTGAACAATAAAAAATGGATGAAAATCATAAATCATGACTTTGGAATTTGTAACTTTAGAAAATATGAAGCAAATCCATTCAGCACTGTACAATTACAGGATAAATATGGGAAATCACAAAGTCTCACAGCTGGAGGTATCTTGTCAGGCTGCCTGAATATGTACACTACAACAAATAAGACTTCAAAATTTTGAAAACTATCTTTTAGCACACCAAGTCAATATGTAATCAAACTATTCGTTTTTTCTAATATGCTTCATTTCTTTCAAAGGACTACTTTTAGACTTACTTTTACTTTAGACTTTGTACGGAGTACTACTATCCCAAACATCACTTCCAAATAGTATCTATATGAAAAATAGTAAATACTTGAAAATTTCCTTGAAACTACTTTTGTGTTGAGATATTTTTGCATTGAATACACAAAAATAGCATAAAAGTATCCAACATTTAAACACAGGACTAAGTTTTATAGTAAAATATTTTGCAATAAATTTTATTCTGTGTTTATTCACTCAACACAGTGTTTAATATATGGTAGGTATGTTAGATTGTGCATAGTCCACTATTGAATGTGGAAACGTCTAACTGAATGATTAATTGATGATTGATTGGAGAATATGACGTGTTGCAAATGATACTCCATAGAAAAGAATTTTCTCCAGAAAAATTATATTTAAGTAACAAATTCTATATCAAACCCTCCAAATACTTATTATTCCAACATGAATGAATAATAATCTATCCCAAATTTAGAAACAAGCCTTTTTGATAACTTTTACCAACATTTGACAACGGAAGCCAGTTTTGTATTCATCAATTTTTAGAATGCTGTATATGAATAATGTTGATATTAAAAGAAGTGACAGTTCTTGCAAATGAAGGTCAATGGTATATGATATTACAATATACCACCTGATTTATGATAATTGTATTAGTATCCCAAAAAGTATATATTGCATCGGTATTTACTTTCCTGTGTCGTTTTACCACTTCACCGGTAGTGCTGCTTACATGTACATCAGTAAGTTCATGAATGATTTATTTTTTAATATTATCAAATTGCGTAAATGAAAAAAAAAATTCTATTCCGATATGAATTTATCTTATTTCATAGCTATTCAAATTAAAGATTTGAAAATTTGTATTTTTAAAATGACACTTTGCTCATTGATATAAATAAAAGTAAGGGGGTGAAGCTATGTTACAGAAAAAAAATATATATTCATAAAATGATGAAGTGTTTTATTACTATACAGAATAAATGTGTGTATGCCAGTTTAACAATTACTTGCATCGCTTTTGTCTAAAGATATGAAAGGCCATTTTCAAGATTGAAAAAAAAAAATAGTGGATCCCAACCACACGGTAGCATGGATGCAGAAATCTCACCCCACACGGAAACAGGAAAGCAAATGGAAAATCTAAAACTTGAATACTGTAGGACCTACTATATAGATCAGAGCATCAATTGATATACATGTACTAGCTGTCCTCAACTTCTATAGTTTTATATATGTAGGACTAGGTATAACTACGATTGGGCAAGAAAGTGATGAAATTGAAATTTTCATTTACATGATAACACAAAGGGGTATTGACAGTGAAATAGTGTATTGTGAGTAATATAGTTTATTTTAGATGGTGGAAAATAATGTGTTCAGCCTTGTTGAGAGAGAGAGAGAAATGGGGTTTACTGTCCACTCAACACAAACCAGGTCATTTTGGGACTAACATGGTTCAAATTTATTTCAATAACTCATTTGCACATAGTGGTCTTTAGCAGTGGGAGGACCAGGAGAAAACCCACGAGGTTCACAGGCGACCCTACTCCTTGTCATGTACAAGGAGGGAATCAAAACCACGCCACTTGACTTAATGACAGACCTTGTGATGCAACGCGCATGCATTAACCAGTCGGCCGCACCCCAACCTTGTTGGTGCCGAGACCAGTTTGCAACAAGATGGTGTCCCTTTAAATTGCCCTTAACTCGTCCATAGTTACATTGTCCACATGCATAGGTTGGCTCAGCCACATGGTACTGCTTATGTCATCCAAAACTAATAGTTGACTTGTATGTTAATTGTATGGAATAAATCATTTTTACTCATCAGTTGTTTTTGGCTTATCAAATACTAAAAAAGCTTGCTTGACCGATCAGAACCAAGATTAGTTCACCTAAGTTCAGTCTGATTAAAATACAGATCTATATTTCGTTTTGACCCTATGACATCAGACATTGATTAATCAATCAGCGTTGACGCCAAGAATTCGCCGTAACAGACCATTTCATTGGCTTATCCCTCACTTCAACCACGTTGGTAATATAACAACTCTTCCAGGTCCTAGTGTAGTAAAGACAAGCAAAACGAAATTTTGAACTATACAAAAAAACCAAAATGAAATAGGATCTGTGTTTTAATCAGATTGACCTAAGCTTACATTTTTATAATAAAGTAGCCTCATATTGGGTGTGGAATGGGTTTCTGCTATTAAAGAATGTTTTAACAGATTATGTCTTTAGTGTGAAACAGAATAATTGCAATACTGTATTTCTATTATATATTTTAGACATTCACTTTCGAAATGCCAGCTGCAGCAAGGGATGATATCTCTGGAACCGGTATGATACATTTTTTATCTTTAAAAGTCCTAATTCAACTGTAGAGTTATTTTAAAGTGTCTTTTTAATCTGATTGTTATCTTAATTAATTGTTTAATAATCACAATTTGAGGATATTTTAATTTTATTGTGGATGAATTATAAATCTAATAATAGTAATATTAGAATACATATAAACCTCCCAACACAGTAAACGTATAAAAATATGCGCTACTTTTTAAGAAGGTATATGATGAGACAATCATATATTAGGATACCAAATGAATTTGTGTATCATATAGGTATTATAAACAATTTTTTTACTTCTTTTTCAGATGCACTCCAGACCCTGCAGAATGGTTTTGATGTATTAGAAGATCGTGAAGTTAATGCAGAAGATGATGATTTGGACTTCCTTAAATCATTTCTAGATGACCCTGCTGTTGCAGCTTTATTTAAAGTATGTATCATCTCTATAATAAGCTAATTAAGCATGCATCTGTTGGGATGAGAACATTACTTAATTTTTTATGGGATTTCTCTGGGTCCTCTGGTTTCCCCCCATGGCTAAAGGGTCATACTGCAAGTGAATTATTGAAAAAAAATGTAACCATGTTAGTAATTGAAATTACAACTGCATAATAAGTAACAATTTTTCATTATCACCCAGACAGCAAAGCTGCTGGTCTTTTTAAAAAAAATTTCCAGTATGAAAGATTTAGGTATATATTTTCATGGTTTTTGTCTGCCATATATATACAATATGTACATAGTTTATTGTATTCACTATAGATACATTACATACATGTAACAATATTTAATACATAGTTTCAATATTATCTACCATATAATGTTTACATTTGTATCTGTTGTAGATACATGATGAGCTTGAAAATGGACCACCAGAACCAGAGGCGTCTAATTCTGTTGGGATGGCTAGAGATGTTTTATCAACTGTAGCATCGGCTAAAGACAAAAACCGTAATGCAGCATCCTTAAGCAAGATCATCAAAAATCCTCATTTTAAGGTACATGTAATTGTTTGGGGTTTTTAAAGTTTGATCTGGGGATCACGTGGCTTAGTGGGTAAGATGTTTGCTCCCTAGCCTGGAGGTCGGGTGTTTGATCCCTGCATTGGCCGAGAAAGTTCAACCAGATTTTCCAGCGTGATTTCCCCTTGTCAGTGATGCAGGACGAGGGCCTGACAAGGACAGCTGTCTAATCGTTCGGATGGGATGAAAAACCAAGGTCCCGTGTACATATTGGCGTGCACGTAAAAGATCCCTTGGCAGTTGGAATTCGATATAAGAGTAGACCGTAGTGCCGCTGCCCGGGCAAAATTTCCCTCATAGCACACTGTATGGCGTATGCCCGTCTTCATTAGCCCAGTTTAGGAGCAGAACAGTAGTACGTTAAACCCTGTTTCATTTCATTTCATTTTAAAGTTTGATCTATACTTAGTGGTATAGACCAAAGCTATGCTACCTCTATTATCATTGACAGATCTCTAATTCAATAAATGGGGGTCAAGAATAACCTTTGCCCTTATCAGGATAGCATCTGCTTGGTTGTCTAAAAAAAAACGGTGCTTGAACCAAAAGCTTGTATGGACAAGAACTTTGAAAAACACAAGTGAACAATTTTTGACTTTTTACGTGCTGAGAAAAAGTCAAAATTTCTCACAGTATTGGTCTCCTGACCTGGAGAACAGTCGTTCGAGTTCTATGCGATTAGGAAATCCCCAATCCCAACGTCCTATCTAATAGAACAAACCCAGTACAGTAGCCACAAATAACCTTACCTGCATAGCATTTGTATAGTTCTCTTAGAAAAAAGGGATTAAAAGTTTGCCAAATGTGACCAAAAGCTTGTCTGAGCTAAGAAAAATTTGTAAAATAAGAGCAATCAATTTTAAAGTTTTTACCAGATAAGAAAAAGTCAAAACAATGCTATCAGTGTCATGTCCTGGGAAACAGACCTAGAAGGTCTGCGACATAAGGAAATCGCAATCTCTTAGACAAATCCTATCTTGGCTTTCTATTTTTAGAACAGCATGCGATGTTTTGATATATAATGTGTAAAATTATGATTTTTTTCAGGCATTACTGGTAGCACATGATGATGTTGTACAGAGAGATTATGGTGACCAGTTACAAGAAACAGTTTCCCTTATGTCCCCACCCCCACCAGTATTTAATGTTATTACAGAACAAGTTCGCTTTGTAACCATCAGAAAATCAGACAGAGAACCATTGGTTAGTATAATAGCTTTTTATACGCCAACATTTTCATGTGGATGTATATAGATGTCACCCCTGTTCGTACGGATAGACGTCTGTTCACATTCTGTTTGTGGACACTCCACAGGTCAAAATTTTTATCTGATTTTAACGGAACTTAAAAGATTGGTTTATATTTTATTTGATTTTAAAAATGGTTCCTATATATATCACCGTTAACCATAATTACGGTTGAATTTGAATGTCACAAATAGTGTAAAAGTATGTAATACCAAGGTTGTGGACAATGCCTGGCAAAGTACCCACTCCCTGTACTTAAATAGTGTATAAGTATGTAATACCAATGTTGTGGATCCTCTAGAGGTCACAATTTTTATACAATTTCGATAAAACTTAAAATATATGTTTATATCTCAAAGATCTAGGTTCTTTTCGATATTAGCACATATTGGATCATAACTTTAGCTTATGGGACCCTCTTACAGGTCACAATTTTAATTTGATTTTAAAAAACATTCATACATATGACCGTCACACTATAATTATGGTTGAGTTCGAATTTTGTGAAAATCAGACCAAAACTCCCTGATTGTACGAAAAATCATGTTTTTAGCTTGTTCTCTGTCAATTTCATGCAAAATGGGGACGTATCTTGGCAACTGTCTGATAAAATTCCTTTTAATGCACATTTTGATCATTTGTACTAATTGTCTGGCTGCCATGAACGAATAAGATTAGTAGGCCCATCTTCGCAAATGTAGAAGTCCAACATGTCATTTATATATTCTGGTTTGTATGTAATGATGACTTATAAATTATATTCTTGGGTCCTATAACAGAAATATAACTTGCCTACTGACTTTTGGTAGTATTTTGTATACTGAATTATAATATTGGATATTTTTAGGGTATCACAGTTAAATTAGATGAAAATGATGATTTAGTTGTAGCCAGAATTTTACAAGGCAGCTTAATAGATAAACAAGGTGAGAAAAATATACAAACCATTATCCATGAGTCACATTAATGAAACTATACATTTCATTTCTTTAATGCAAGCACAAAGTACTAAGTCTTGAGATTGTCTTGATTTGAATTCAATTAAAGCAAAAAAATGATCAGGTCACAAGATGACCGTCAATATATTTGTGATGTAATTGTATGACTGATAGCCATCTACTAATTCCATGTTTAAAACAGCTTAAAAAAAGATATTTTGAAAGATAGTTTGCCAAGCAATGAAAAATGTGCCCCAACAGCATAAAGCATCGGATCAGTGCAAGCAATGAATAACACGCCCCAACAGCATAAAGCATCGGATCAGTGTGGGGGGGGGGGCATTATTATCCCCATAATTTCATTATGGTTTTATGTGTCCTGTGATGGTGATAAAATATACTATTCAAAAAAAGTAGGGGATATTTGATTTTGGGGGCATAATACTAAAATATGCAAATGACTACGAAAAAAGTCACTATAGAACCTAACAGAAGAAACATTTCCAGTTACATGTGACGCCCAAACGCACCAATAGCTACCGCATGGAATGCAGGTGATGCTTGGGATCATCATGGGGGTCCAACCCAAGATTTGCACGACTCTGACTTTGAATGTTACAGTCATTGTGGCATTGAATTCCAGTGTGGAAACATCAGTTTAATTGTTTTAGTGACCAGAAAACAAATTTTGATATGCGTCGGCTTACCCAAAATGAAAGGTTACGTGCCCTTGGCATGCTACAGATCGGCACAACACAGGCGGTTGTGGCGCGGACGATGAATGTTTCTCAGTCTGTCATAAGCAGGCTATGGTCCAGATACCGTGATACACAATCTGTACAGGACAGACCACGCTCAGGTCGACCAAGGGCGACAACTCAAGCCCAGGATCGTTTTAATCGTACCTTGGCCTTGAGAAATCGTGTCATCACAGCAAATCAGATCAGCGCTCGTCTTCAAACAGACACTGGTGTGAGAGTGAGTGGCCAGACGATTCGGAATCGACTGCATAGGGGTCACCTTCGCGCCCGACGTCCTCGCGTGATCCCTTGTTTGAGAGATCATCACATTCAGGCAAGACGTCGTTGGTGTAGGGATCGTCAACACTGGGATAATCGACGCTGGAGCAATGTGATGTTTTCAGATGAGTCAAGGTTCACTGTTGATTATTTGGACAGACGTAGGAGGGTGTGGCGTCGTCGAAACGAGCGCTTCCAAGACGTTAACGTCATCAGACATGATCGATTTGGGGGTGGTTCTGTTATGGTGTGGGGAGGCATCACTGTTGCTGGAAAAACGGCTTTACATGTTGTTGCAGGGCGTGTTACAGGCAAGTACTACCGGGACAACATCTTGGCAGTCCATGTTGTGCCGTTCGCACGACGTCATGGCCGCCGTTTCATCTTCCAGGATGACAACGCAAGATGTCACAGGGCCAGGATCGTTACAGGTTACCTCCAACAACAGAACATCACCACATTACCTTGGCCAGCACTGAGTCCCGACCTCTCCCCCATCGAGCATGTCTGGGACATGCTTGGACAGAGGTTACGTCAACGTCAACAACGTCCTGCCAATGTCCAAGAACTTGCTGCTGCGTTGCAACAGGAATGGGACAATCTGGACCAAAATGACCTTAGACGTCTCATTAGGAGTATGCCACGTCGGATCAATGCTTGTTTGGCAAACAGAGGAGGATTTACCCGTTACTGACTTGGTTGTGATGCTGTGGTAACTTTGCTGTTTGACCCCGGGTATCATTTTACCCTTATAATGGTCAGTCTGTGCCTTACTTAGTCTAACGATCATTTGGAATAAATCGATGAATGTGAACTTCATTTCATTTTGTCATTTGTTTCTTCGTCAGTTTCATTAGGTGACTTTAATAACACTTAAAAATCAAATATCCCCTACTTTTTTTGAATAGTATATAATTTGAAATGTTTCATGTCCTATTTTTCTGCACCAACGGGGCTAATCAAAACAAAATAAAATTTCAATCCACTTTGAACTGTTTAATTCATCCAAAACAAATTCACGTTATTCATTTATTTTGACAGTTTCATATCTTATTCTTAAAGGACAATATTGGTGTCAGTCATTATTACATATGTGATAGAACTGGTTAAATACATCCCAAATATAATTTTAACACAGAGATCATTGCTACGGGAGACGTGTAACAAGCACGTGAAGAAACGGGAAGTGACGCCAAACATGACAAATACGAGTTGTCCTTCTATATAACAGACTGAAGTAACGAGCGGTAACAGACAAACGATCGAATTTCATTTCACTGATAATTCCGTTGAAGTTGAAAAGTTATTATATGGGACGGTGAGAGGGTATCTCACAATTCAAAAATAGAATTGGCTGTCACTAGATAAGGGACACGAGAAAAAGTAGAAAAATCCTGTGCATTCCCCCGTTTTTATACGCCCACATTGAAATGTGAACGTATATTGCCGTCGGTCCGTCCATCGTCCACAATTTCTTGTGAACGCTCTAATGCCAAAAGTTATCATCCGATCTTTCTGAAATTTACATGCATTATTTAAATTAGTGAAACGAAGAAGCCTATTGATTTTCGACAATTCCGTTTATTACATCTAGAGTTATGGCCCTTGCTTCACTTTATTGATCCTTGTGAACGCTCTCACGTCAAAAGTTATCATCCGATCTTTCTGAAAATTATATGCATTATTTAGATTGCTGAAACGAAGAAGCCTATTGAATTTCAGCAATTCCCGTTTATTACGTCTAGAGTTATGGCCCTTGTTTCATTTTATTGATCCTTGTGAACGCTCTAACACCAAAAGTTATCATCCGATCTTTCTGAAATTTATATGCATTATTTAGGTTACTGAAACAAAGAAGGCTATTGAATTTCGGCAATTTCTGTTTATTACGTCTAAGAGTTATGGCCCTTGTTTCACTTTATTGATCCTTGTGAAAGCTCTCACGTCAAAAGTTATCATCCAATCTTTCTGAAATTTATTTGCATTACTTAGGTTACTGAAATGAAGAAGGCTATTGAATTTCGGCAATTTCCGTTTATTACGTCTAAGAGTTATGGCCCTTGTTTCACTTTATTGATCCTTGTGAAAGCTCTCATGTCAAAAGTTATCATCCGATCTTTCTGAAATTTATATGCATTATTTAGATTGCTGAAACAAGAAGCCTATTGAATTTCAGCAATTCCCGTTTATTACGTCTTGAGTTATGACCCTTGTTTCACTTTATTGATCCTTGAGAACGCTCTCACGTCAAAAGTTATCATCCGATCTTTCTGAAATTTATATGCATTATTTAGATTGCTGAAACGAAGAAGCCTATTGAATTTCAGCAATTCCTGTTTATTATGTCTAGAGTTATGGCCCTTGTTTCACTTTATTGATCCTTGTGAATGCTCTAACGTCAAAAGTTATCATCCGATCTTTCTGAAATTTATATGCATTATTATGGTTACTGAAACGAAGAATCCTATTGAATTTCAGCAATTTCCGTTTATTACGTCTAGAGTTATGGCCCTTGTTTCACTTTATTGATCCTTGTGAACGCTCCAACGCCAAAAGTTATCATTCGATCTTTGTGAAATTTATATGCATTATTTAGATTAGTGAAACGGAGAATCCTATTGAATTTCAGCAATTTCCGTTTATTACGTCTAGAGTTATGCCCCTTGTTTCACTTTATTGATCCTTGTGAACGCTCTAACGCAAAAAGTTATCACCTGATCTTTGTGAAATTTATATACATGATTTAAATTAGTGAAACGAAAAAGCCTATTGAATTTCAGCAATTTACAATAATTACTTCTAGAGTTATTGCTCTTGTTTCACTTTGTTAAACCTTGTTAATGCTCGATTGATAATCCGATATGTATGAAATTTATATGCATCATTTGAATTTGTGAAACAGGTCTATTGAATTTCAGCAATTTCCGTCAATAATTTCTAGAGTTATGGCGATTGTGAAATTTCGAATGACAAATGTGATCTATGTGAAATTTGTATGCATTATTTAAATTAGTAAAACGAAAAAGCCTGTTAAATTTCAACAATTTCTGTAGATTACTTCCAGAGTTGAGACCCTTGTTTCAGTTTGTAGAACCTTGTAAACCCTCAAACGACAAAATTTATAATCTGATCTGTATGGAACTGTCTTGTAAAGGCTCCCAATTACCACAAAGGAATAAATATGCGACAACCCTTGACGACCGCTCGGACGATTTAGCTGCTGTGGGTGTATGTTTTGTTGCCTGTCAACCTATCTTTATCCTTTCTGTTCTTAATAAAAACATGGTAATGCACAGACTTTTTCTAATTTGTTCGTTATCTTTTATCTACTGACAGCCAATTCTTTTTTGAATTGTCAGATATCCTCTCATTGTCTCATATAACAACTTTTCATCTTTAACGGAATTATCAGTGAAATGAAATTCAATCGTTTGTCTGTTACCGCTCATTACTTCAGTCAGTTAAATAGAAGGACAACTCATGTTTGTCATGTTTGACGTCACTTCCCGTTTCTTCACGTGCTTGTTACACATCTCCCGTAGCAATGATCTCTGTGTTAAAATTATTTGGGATGTAATTTAACGATCTCTATCCCATATTTTATAATGACTGACACCAATATTGTCCTTTAACACTCCTTGGCATTACCCCTTTAGTACTTTGACCACTATGGTGGCCCATGGTCGCAATAGCGTTTTTGGGGTTATTTTTTGTATTTCATTTAAAATCATAAAAAATAAAAGTAAAAAAAAAGAAACATTTTTTTTTATTTTGTAAAACAAAAGAAAAAAAAAATCTTTTTAAAATTTAAAAGAAAAAAAAAATCTTTTTAAAATTTAAAAGAAAAAAAAAATCTTTTTAAATTAAAAAGAAAAAAAAAATCTTTTTAAATTAAAAAGAAAAAAAAATCTTTTTAAAATTTAAGAAAAAAAAAAAAATCTTTTTAAAATAAAAAAAAATCTATATAAAAAAAATTAATAAAATATTTAAGATTAAAAAAATCTATAAAAAAAATAACATTTTGATTAAAAAAAAAAAAATAAGTGAAATAGAAAAAATCAAAAAAAGAATTCTGCACGTGGCCCATCGTCGTAATAGTGTCTTGATTATCCAGACTCAGTATAAAATCAGCCTACGACAGCTATCATTCGACTCGAGTAACAAGAAATACCTCGTGGCCCATTGTTGCTATAGTGTCTCGATTATCCTATGTGGCATAACTCGAGCGACAAGAAACGAGTTTGTAGTTATCTTCCCTTTCGAACAGACATCAACACGTGAAACACAATTTTTCCACCCATGACGTCTATGGACTTGGATATATGTATTTATACATATGCAAGTCAATAGAAATGTATAATTAATAGACTATAGAAGCCTAGCGTCATTTAGACTAGTTTATCCAGTCTAACTAGAACTAGGCCTACATACATAATGACGTTTGAAGTCACTGACTTTAATGACACCATTCGGCCTACTAGTGCGCAAGGCCTATTCTCCCCTCAAAAGGCTTATGTAATGTTTTTAAAACACTTGGTCTCCCTGAGGTCGAATTTCAAAAGTTGTTAACAACTTTGAAACTAATCCTCGAAGTATAGGCCTACTACTACTAAGTAGCCGGGGTGGGGGGGGCGAATGGTTAGCACGTGCGCGCTGTATCATAAAGCCTGTCATATCATAAAGCCTGTCATTGAGTCAACTGGCGTGATTTCGAATCCCCGGTTGTACGTGACAAGGAGTAGGGTGACCTGTCAAACATCGTGGGTCTGTCGTTCAGATTATCCTGTGTGGGATCTATGAAGAACGTATGGTATAGACTCGAGCGACAAGAAACCAGTCTATAGTTACCTCACATCAAGGCACAAGTAATTTTAACTAAAATCTATTAAAATTAAATTTTAAGTTACAATCGATCTTCGTGAAACGCATAAATTTAAAATTTCACTTTGATTTTAAAATCTATGTGAGTGATTTTAGCTTCAGTTTTTGTGAAACCCCTGCTCTCCCTGAGGTCATCGCTAGTCCCCCGCTACGACCACAGGAACGGGTAAGACATAATAGAGCATGATAGCCTACGTGGACTTCGTCTGGGGCCTGTTTTACTAAGATAAAATTCAAATTTTAGTATTTGATTGGATAATAGATAATATTAGATTTATTTTAGTGCTTAGCTAATCAAAATTGAAGTATCTACAATTATGTTGACGTGAGATAACTACAGACTCGTTTCTTGTCGTTCGAGTTTATACGTTCTTCATAGATCCCACACATAATAATCGAGATACTACTGCAACAATGGGCCACAAAATGTTTCTGGTCGCTCTAGTCTAATGATAGCTGTATACTGGGTCTGGATACTCAAGACACTATTGCGACGATGGGCCACGTCGGGAATTATTTTTTATCTTTTCTTTTTCAATTTTTTTTTTTTTCATTTAATTTTTTTTTTAATATTATTTCTTTTTTATTTTTTTTAAAATATATTTTATTATTTTTTTATATATATATATAGATTTTTTTTTTTTCATTTTAAAAAGATTTTTTTTTTTTTTAATTATAAAAAGATTTTTTTTTTTTAAATTTTAAAAAGATTTTTTTTAAAAAAATTTAAAAAGATTTTTTTTTTTTTTTAATTTTTTAAAAAGATTTTTTTTTTTTTTAAATTTTTAAAAAGATTTTTTTTTTTAAATTTTAAAAGATTATTTTTTTTTTATTTTGTAAAAAAAAAAAAAAAAAATGTTTCTTTTTTTTTTTTGTACAAATATTTTTATTATTTTAAATGAAATACCCAAAATAACCCAAAAAACGCTATTGCTACCATGGGCCACCATAGACCACCCAAAACACCGAACAGTTGTTCTCATCCAGAGCGTGGGATTGGATGATCAAATTCCAACTGCCAAGGATTATTTTATGTGCACTCAAACATGTACACAGGACCTTGGTTTCTCATCTCTAAAAGCGGTTCCTTAACAGGCTCTACCTCTGAGAAGGGGAAACCAGAGGAAAATCCCAAGGAATTCAGCTATCACATGGACAGGATGTATGTCATCCTGGTCAGTGAGCCAGTGCCTTACTCACTGATCCACTGTGGAAGTAAATATTTACAAGTGCTAAAGGGTTAATTGTTTTTTTTTTCAGGATTACTTCGTGTAAATGACATCATTCGTGAAGTAAATGGATTACCAATGATAACACCAGATCAATTGATGGAAACCATTGTCCAGGCTGATAATACCATTACATTAAAAATAGTTCCATCTTATGGTGATTCTAGGGTCACAGAAACGGTATGAACAATCTACTTCTTTCAAATATAAATTTGATTTTAGGGAAGAGACAAAGGTTAAATTTGAAGAATGGGAACTTTTAATATTTACATTGTCTTTCCAAAGTGATTATGTCAGCAATACCTTATATTTGCAATTATTAGTCATACATGTAGAAAAGATTCTTGTGAAGTCACTCAATCAAATCAACACACATGTTTAGGAGAAATGGCCGGTGATGAAATATTGGTTCTCAAGCAAGCACATTGTATTCTTTTTCCAGATATATATGAAAGCTCATTTCAACTATGATCCAATGAAAGATCGGTTAATTCCTTGTAAGGAGGCCGGTTTGCCATTTCAAGATGGAGATATTTTGGAGATTGTGAATTCCGATGACAGTAATTGGTGGCAGGTAGGCTACTTATTTAAATTTATTTGAACTCTGGTCTGAAATAAAAATGTTTGCTGATATGTAATTTGTGAGGATTGAATGGAAATTTTATATATCTTTGATTTAGGCAAGATTTGCAGATATTGATGGACCAACAGGACTAATTCCTTCGAAAAATTTGGAAGAAAAAAGAAAAGCTTTTGTACAACATGACTATGACAATTCATCAAGCAGCCTGTGTAAGTTTGTTTTTCTTTACATGGCAATAGATAAAGAGATATTTAACAATTTTATTGACTGCAACATCATTACAAATTTGGATTGATGCATATATTTTTTTCATAAAGATATTTTGGAAATAATTTTATTAAAGAAAATACCCAGTGTTAATCCTAAATAGATTGCTTTGATTTTAATTTGTTGTACGTTTGTTATAGTTTGTGGTTTAACAAAAAAGAAGAAAAAGAAATATAAATACAATACAAAAGCAAATACAGGTCAGTAAGACTTATAATTCAGACTTTCCTGTTAGCGAATTCCATTAGACTTATGAAAAGCTCACCTGGACTTTGGCTGAAGTCAATATCCCTCTACTAAAAAATCAAACTATTTTACACACATGCTATATATAGTTAGTACTGCCTTACTAGGTATTTTGATGCCTCCAGTTGCAATATAGACATTAGAATAAATATGTTAAAGTGAAAATCATTGAAATATGTCATCTTTTGGAAGTATGTTGTACCTGTCTTTCTGTCTGTTCGTTAAGGAAGCTTTGTTTGAGAAATCTTGTAAACATAGGTTTATGAAATTCTGGGATTGTGAACCTATTGAAATTCAGTCATGCAACTAGCTGATGTGATGTCTTTTTACAGACTGTAATTCTAATATAAGGAAAAACCCTATCGAAATTCCACACTGTTTTTGCAGAGCTACTGCCCCGGTCACTGAAATCATGTAAACCCTCTGCATGTCAGAGAATTTGAAAGATTTTATTCAAATTAAGTGTGATTGTTTACATAATCGTGAGTAGTTGTTTGCCTGGGCCCTGAATACGCTGCTAGTGGACTTGTTTTCGTTTTCTGCCAATGTTTATAGCTCACTTGGAATTGAATCTGCACAAGTTTTGAGCAACCGGCCCCTGATGATTATCTATCATTGAAATTCATGAACATGATATTTGTTGAGTAATATTGTGTGACCTTAGGATGGATAAAATTGAATCGAACAATAAATAAAAATCTGACATTAATTGAATTTGTAATAATAACAATATAATTACAATTTTCTTATATAGCAAAAACTGCCTAGAAATTATCCGAGAAAAGACAGAATTGTAAAAACAAAGTTAATTTCTAATTAAAATCTTGAATGTAAGTTGTTGATTTCTAATTTTTAGATTTTGATCGTTGTGATGTATTGATATATGAAGAAGTGCGGAGAATGTCGCCTTTCCAAAGAAGTGTACTGGTCCTTGTTGGTGCTAATGGTGTGGGTCGCAGATCATTAAAGGAAAGACTTATCAGAGATGATCCTAGAAGATTCAGTGGAGTCATTGCCCGTAAGTGGAAAATTTTGATGGATAAATGATAAAACACTAAAATAAAGATTGCCCGATAACTTTGTCAATATTTTTTGATAATTGTAAAGAGATTATTAACAATATACAAATCTTGTCTCTTAATTTCATTATCCTGTTTTCCACAATAATGTCTACAATTGATTCATTTGTATAAAATGAGGAAAGAGATTTGGGTGTCATTTCGAGAGATTTACTGTCCACTCAACACAAATTAGATCATTTCACAACTAAATTACAGTACATTTCAATAATTTGCTGGCACACACAAGCCACTCGCATGAGAGTGAAATGCCTAGACACTAGTATCAATACCAGACCATAACATCTAAAGTCTGTGCATTAGAAAACTCAAGCCACCTAGCCCCCTTCACAACCTATATTTGTTTTTATCAGCTATTTGTATGAGATTTGAAAGATTATTGTGAAATAAAACTAGAAATAATTTTGCCTTGTTTCAGATACATCTAGAGCACCAAGAGAGAATGAATCAGATGGTAAGGGTTATTTCTTTACAGATAGAGAAACTATGGCAGCTGACATCAACAATAATAAATATATAGAATTTGGTGAATATAATGGTAACCTTTATGGAACTAAACTGGAAAAGATATACGAAGTCAAACAGTCTGGTAAAATGTGTGTGCTGGATGTTAATCCTACTGTAAGTATATATTTGATTTACAATCGAAATGTTTTTCCTTTTCACTAAGGTGAAATAAAAAAAATATTTTAGTTCTCAGATACTATCTCATCACTTATTAAAAAGAGCCACATGACCTGTTTTTATTTATTTTTTTTAAAAAACAAAACAAAATACAGTCTCATTAATTATCGCATATACATGTTTTCTCCGGGTTACAGGAAGTAACTATATATACAGGTAACACTTTTTATCCGAGTTTGACAAAACTTGAAACATAGGTCTACCTCCCAAAGATCTTGGTTCCTTTCGATATTGGCATATATCGGACCACAACTTCATGGATTATGTCTCTTGATTGTATGAAAAATCATGTTTTTAGCTTGTGGCCACTCTAAGAGGTCACATTTTTATACGGCCACATTTTCCTGCGAACATATATTGCCGTCGCCCCTGTCCGTCCACTATTTGTTTGTGGTCACATTTCATATTCGATTTTGACGAAACTTATGGATTATGGCCCCTGATTGTACGAAAAAACACTGTTTTTAGCTTGTGGACACTCTAGAGGTCACAATTTTCATTTGATTTTGATGAAACTTGAAATGCATATTTCTATCACAAAGATCTTGATTCCTATCGATATTTGCGCATGTCGGATCATAACTTCCTGAATTATGCCCCTTGATTCTATGAAAAATCACGTTTTTAGCTTGTGGTCCCTCTAGAGGTCACAATTTTTATCCGATTTAAAACAAAGTTTGAATATATCACCGTTACACCCTTATTGCAGTTCAGTTAGAATTTTGTAAAAATCAGACCATATCACCCAGACAAAATGGCCTTCCCTCGTATGCAAATATTGTAAATATATGGTATATCAAGGTTGTGGACCCTCTAGAGGCCACAATTTTGATCTGATTTTGATGAAACTTGAAATACATGTTTATTACCCAAAGATCATGGTTCCTTTCCATATTCAAGCATATTTGATTGTAACTTCCTGAATTATGGCCTGTTGATTATACGGAAAATCACATTTTTAGCTTGTGGTCCCTTTAAGAGGTAATAAATTTTAACCAATTTAAAAAAAAGTTTGAATACATCACCATTACACCCTTATTAGGTTGAGTTCGAATTTCGTGATAATCAGACCAAAACTGCTGGAGAAAATGGTCGCCCCTCGTACGCAAATATTGTAAATATATGGTATATTAAGGTTGTGGACCCTCTAAAGGCCACAACTTTGATCTGATTAATTGATGAAACTTGAAATACATGTTTATAACCCAAATATCTTGGTTGCTTTCAATATTCACGCACATCTGATCTTAACTTCCTGAATTATGGCCCTTGATTGTACGAAAAGTCACATTTTTAGATTGTGGTCCCTCTAGAGGTCACAATTTTTATCTGATTTTAAAAAACGTTACACCCTAATGATGGGTAAGTTCAAATTTCGTGAAAATCAACCAAAACTGACAGACAAATTGGCAGTCCCTTTTATGCAAATATTGTAGAAGTATGTATACCAAGGTTGTGGACTCTTGCAAAATGTGGACGTATCTGGTAATCCTATTTTGATGAAACTTGAATCGTATGTTTATAAGATCTTCGTTCCTTTCGATGTTCGCGCATATAGGACCATAGCTTCCTCTCTATTATGGCCCATGATTGTACGAAAGATCGCATTTAAGCTTGTGGTCCCTCTAGAGGTCACAATTTTTATCTGATTTAAAAAAGCATTTGAATATGTCACCGTTCCTCTATTAATGATAGAGTTTGAATTTTGTGAAAATCGTACCGAAACTGCCGGACTAAATGGTCACCCCCTCATATGCAAATAGTGTAAACATATAATATATTATGGTTATGGACCCTCTAGAGGCTACAATTTTGATCCTGTACATAAATAGTGTTAAAGTATGTAATATCAAGATTTTTGACCCTCAAGAGGTCACAATTTTGATCCGATTTTGATGAAACTCAAAATATGTGTTTATATATTTCCCAATGATCTTGGTCATTTCAATATTCGTACATATCGGACTGTAACTTCCTGGAATATGGCCCCTCATTGTACGAAAAAATCAAGATTTTAGGTTGTGGACCTAATTTTTATCAGAATTTAAATTTTTTTTTTAAATTTCATCGTTACACCCTGATGATGTTTGAGTTCGAATTTCGGACCAAAACTGCTCGACAAAATGAACGCTGCTTGAATGCCAATAGTGTATAAGTAATACAAAGGTTTTGGACCAGGGCTTCCACTTCAAAATTTTTCCCAGCCGGTCATTTTTCATGTGGAGGAAGTGGTGCTATTTTTAGCACATAATAAGAAGACACAAAACAACATGATATTGAAATGTCGATCGGGTTTAATTGGGTCAAGGACAGTCGGAAAGAAATTTAATCTCACGTCGGCATTTATACCCACCCACCCCCTCAATAAAGGAACACATGTAATCAATTATCATTTATTTATTTATATATAAAAAATTATAACGACAAGAAACATTCATTCATCACAAGTACACTATTTTCTTACTTTATTTACAACATCCCCCGTATACATCCTCCTCGTATCTCTAATGGAACTGTTGTGGTATAACATCTTTTAATAGTCGATCTTTGTGTTCATGTGACATTTTATGGTCACCGGAGGCAGTGTGCTCAACCAGAGCTGACTTTCTAAAATTCTGGGAACCAATCACAAAACTATTCTTGGCGTTATGTTTCTGACAACCATCTTTTAATTAACCTGTGCGTACTGCGTACGTGACGAGTTAGACTGTTGACTATTTCTCCATATGCAGCGAAAAATAGTTCTGTATGATTAATGCATTTAAATAATTCAAAGTCATTCAATGTACAACAATTAACAACATACTTTTAAAACTTATAAATATATTAACTTGTATTAATATTTGGGGAGCTCAAACAATATTTTTCTAGTATTTTCACTCGATAACATGTAAATATAATTATGCTGTAACAACAACTCGGTTTTAAGAATGGTTACACAGTACTAATTAAAAAACAAAACTCGGTTAATTAAAGTGATTAAATGTTAGGCTTTTAATCTGTTTGATGTTGATCCTCCGTTGATTGTGATTAAAGCAATATACACAAGGATAATTAATTAGCAATGGTTTCCATTCGTGGACTACTGAACACTGTTAATTTTATTATACCTGACGGTTTACTTCACGACACGCACAGAGATTCTTCGTATTCTGTGATTTTATGATTTAGCACAAAATATACTATTTTTCCGGCGTGCCAAATGACCTACGGGCCTGGTCTGCTTTCGGTCATATTTTGGGCCCTCCAGGGATCACAATATTTGTCCGATTTTGATGAAACTTTAAAGATATAGTTATATTCCAAAGATCTCAGTTCCTTTCGATATTCGTGCATTTCAGACCATAACTTCCAAGATGATGACTCCCTATTGTATGGAATATCAAATTTTATTTTTTTTAACTTGTTCTCTATCCATTTCTTGCAAAATTTGAGCGTATCTTACATTGCAACCGTTGGTTTTTAATGAAAATGAAAATGTACCGCAGGCCCAATTATCATTAAATTTGCATTGCATCCCTGATAAATGTTACTGACAATCATAAATAATACTGGATAATCATACATTCAACAATGTCATGAGATAAATGTAGTGTCTTGAATATTGTGATGTTTGTGAGAAGTCATTTAGCTCAGTAGTAATCCTTTGACGAAAGAAATACATAAAAACAAAAACCTCCTTCCTGCATCAGATTTTTAGAACGGATTGTTTGAGAACACAAATATTTTCTTTGTATGGCCTAATTTTGATCTGTTTTGTCAGGTTCACACAAAAAGAGTTGAAAATGAAAACATGTTTATCGTCTTGGAACAAAGCTAAGAATCCATATGCATTGTATCTGAAAAGATCCATAAGGCACAGCTAAAGCATCGTTCTTGTCCCCCGCCTTTCGAAGAAAGCAGGGGACTATTAAAATGGGTTGACGTCTGTCTGTCTGTCCGTCCGTCTGTCTGTCACACTTTGTGGGACACAATAACTCTCTTTCTAATTGAGCTAGAATGTTCAAACTTGGTGTAGGTGTTTGTTAGGTCAATGCCTCGATGGAGTTCGAAGATGAGCATTTTCTGCTTAGGGTAAGCAGAGATAAGCAAATTGATTGGTTGATGCTTTGGGACACGATAACTTTAGTTCTAATTAAGTGAGAGTGAGGACGCGTGGTGTATAACTTTATTACATCAATACCTTGACTAAGTTCGATAATGAGCATTTACTGCTCAGGGTAAGCAGAGCGATAAGCAATTTGATTGGCCGAGACTTTGGAACACAATAACTCTCCTTCTAATTGAGCCAGAATGTTCAATCAAACTTGGTGTAGGTGTTTATTAAGTCAATGCCTTGATGGAGTTCGAAGATGAGCATTTTCTGCTTAGGGTAAGCAGAGATAAGCAATTTGATTGGTTGATGCTTTGGGATAACTTTAGTTCTAATTAAGTGAGAGTGATGAAACTTGGTGTATAGTTTCATTACATCAATACCTTGACTAAGTTCGATAATGAGCATTTTCTGCTCAGGGTAAACAGAGTGATAAGCAATTTGATTGGTCGAGACTTTGGAACACAATAACTCTCATTCTAATTGAGGTAGAATGTTCACACTTGGCGTAGGTGTCTATTAGGTGAATGCCTTGATTGAGTTCGAAGATGAGAATTTTCTGCTTAGGGTAAGCAGAGATAAGCAGTTTGGTTGATGCTTTGGGACACAATAACTGTAGTTCTAATTAAGTGAGAGTGAGGACGCTTGGTGTATAGCTTTATTACATCAATACCTTGACTAAGTTTGATAGTGAACATTTTTTGCTGAGGGTAAGCAGAGTGATAAGCAATTTGATTGGTTGAGACTTTGGAACACAATAACTCTCCTTCTAATTGAGGTAGAATGTTCAAACTTGGCGTAGGTGAATGGTTAAACATGATGTAGATGTTCATTAGGTGAATGTCTTGATTGAGTTCAATGATTAACATTTTGAGCTGACGCCAAGCTGAGCTAATCGATTTCATTTGTCGATGGTTTGGGACAAGATATGGTTTGATTCCTCGATACTTTTGAAAAAAATAAATGTACGATTAATTAATATGTCATCTATTTATTTTGGGATTTCGGCGGGGGACATCAGCCTCACTGTTGGCTTGTTTCTTTGTATGTTAACTCGGCTATAAAATTGCTTGTTAATAAGTCATTATAATTAGACACTCAACACTTCTCAGAACCTTATTGAGTGGAACGATAATACCATAACCAAAATGACGACGGTGAAGTTTAGTATTTTATATAACCAACTATTTCTTATGTTTTTGTTTTTTTAAAAATAATTTTTTTCTAGTCTCTGAAGATATTGAAGACACCAGAGTTCATGCCGTATATTGTATTTATAGCAGCACCAAGTGTAGAGGTTTTAAAAGTAATGTATGAAGAAGGCCATAGACTAAGTACAACAGGAAGAGCAAAGGTAAAAAATGGTGATTTTGTTGCCACAATCTGATATTGTAGGCGGAAATTCAGCTAAATGTATACTTTTTATATGCCCATATTTTCATGTGGACGTATTATGCCAACGCCCCTGTCCGTCCATCCACAGTTTGTTGTGGACACTACAGGTCACAATTTTTGTCCGATTTTGACGAAACATAAAATATAGGTCTATCTCCCAAACATCTGTTCCTTTCGACATTGGCATGTATAGGACCATAACTTAACCAGTTAACTGTGTAGTTTTTATGACGTTAACGTCATCCTATTGTGTAATTAATTTGACGTCATAACGTCATTTTGGGGCCTTTTTATTCCTGATTAGATAGCACTGTTGTTATTGCTCTATATACATGTTCTGTTGGATTTTGTATGTCAAATATATGTTCTTCCTTTGTTCTAAGTGTGAAATAATGAAATAAATAGTGAAATTTATTTTTATATATTTTTATTTTGAGTCCTTTTTACACACTTGTAATGAATTTTTGAAAATTAGATGAATTATTGAAACTATAATTCAATTTTACAAACGGTCTCTTTTTTGGGACAAAAGTACTTTCTTCTACATCTCTTTGTGCAATAAATTTTACTGGGGGGTGAGAGACATGATCCAGGGGATGGGAGGAACTATATCAGTCCCGCACAACTTAGCGAGTGTAGTTGAGTTCAAAGTGGTAGGTTTCAAAGTATGGAGTAATGCACAAAGCCTTGTCACACTCGTTACACATGTAACTTGTGTCTCTCCTAGTGCCTTTTGATAGGCAGACATGACATTTCCTTTGAGGGTACTCCTTCTTGGGTGTTGGGGGGGATGCGGGTAAGGAAGTGACGCTCAGTGAGGCGCAACGGAGTGTCACTATGGAACGAACGCCCCACCTTCTCTCTCTGTTGCACCTTGTACTTCCCAACTAACCTATCCACCAGTGACAGAACGAAGCTTAGTCTTGGAATGGCTCCTCCCATCTTCTTGAACAAGATATGGGCATTCAGTACAGCCATATCCAGGATATGACGGAACTGCTTGATATAATACTTTTTCAACCTTTTCCGGGAAGTTTGGTAGGCAGACAAGTAGGCGTCACTCAGTTCAATACCACCCATGGTATCATTGTAATCGCAGCACACTTGTGGTTTCATTATTGGTGGCTTATTTGGATCTGCTCTTGCTACTTGCTTGGTTCTGGCATCATGGATGGTGCTGAGCATGTGGACGTCCTTCTTGTCTCTCCACTTCAGAAGCATCAGCTTCTCACTATACACAGCTTTGATCTCTCCCTTGCGAAGTTTCTGCTTCAGAAAGTCTTTGGGTAGACCTTTTCGGTTAGGTCTGATGGTTCCAACAGCATCAGTGCTTTTTGCACAAACTTCATCATAAAGACTAGGTGAGCTATAAAAGTTGTCCATATTGATACAGTAACCTTTGTTGAAGAACTGCCGACCAAGTGTTAGGATTATTTTTGAACCCATTGGTAGGTTCTCATCAATCCCTTGATCATACATCGTACCCTCCCCTGTGTAAACAAAGAAGTCCAAGATGAAGGCTGAGCTGGATTCACATATCTCGAACGACTTTATCCCAAAGCGTGCACGTTTGGAAAGGATGTACTGTTTCCACGACAATCTTCCCTTCCACAGCATGAGTGACTCGTCGATAGCAACGTCCCTCTCTGGCTGATAAACTTCTGAGAATCTTCTCTTCATGTGCTGGAGTATTGGCCACAATTTGTACAGCTTACGGGGAATGGTATCATTGTCTGCTGCTTTGGTGTTGTCTGCGAAATGCAAAAACTTGTTCAAGAGGATGAACCGGTCACAGTGCATTACATCACGGAAGAAGGGTGTATCCAGCGAAGCCCTCTTCGAAAAATAATGCTGATACTCAGGCTTGTATACAACCCCCTGGAGAAGTAGAAGGGCTATGTAAAGCCTCATCTCATTACCAGTTGTATCTTCCCATTGTTTAGCCCGAGAGCGACATTTCAGTTCAGGTCCCTTGTCATTCATGAACTGCTGGGCAAATAGATTGGTCTGAGTTACGATGAGATCAATCAACTCATCATTGAAAAAGAGTTCAAAAAACTCCAGAGGATTCTCTGGGTCGTCATTATCACTACTAGTGGCACTACTGACGGGTTCATTACCCTCAGGCTCAGATTCTGTGTCTATGGCACTGGGGTTTATCAAATACGCCTCCTCCCGATCGTTAGTTTCATCTTCCGAATCAACGGAAGACGACAAATCATCACCCGACTCAAGAATACTGTTCAAAACCTCTTCTTCAGAGAGCTTGCGCTTGCTGGACGATGCCATTATTGTCCACGTGCATATAGTCAAACTCAAAGCTGAACACGTTACTCAGAACGAGATTTTGTTAGTCAGAATGAGGTTGTGTCGTCTTGCACATGTCCAGGCAAAGATTTCCTCGACCATTCGTAATATAACGTCTTACGCACTCAGGACAGCCATTATACACGTGTTGCGATAGTGGGGGAATTGCCAAGGGAGTCCCCCAAGTGATGTACTATGTTCTAAGAATAGGTTGGGAAACATACCTCCAAGACGTTATATTACGTCCTACACACAGTGAGTGGCAGTTGCCCAGGACGTTATATAACGTCCTACGCAGTTAAGGGGTTAATGGATTATGACCCCTAATTGTACAAAAAAATCGTGTTTTTAGCTTGTGGTTCCTCTAGAGGTCACAATTATTATCCGATTTAAAAAAAAAGTTTGAATATATCACCGTTACACCCTAATGATGGCTAAGTTCAAATTTCAAGAAAATTGGACAAAATGATCACCCCTCGTACGCAAATGGTGTAAACATATGTTATATCAAGGTTGTGGATTTTGATCCGATTTTGATGAAACTTGAAAAATATGTTTATAATCCAAAGATCTTGATTCCTTTCGATATTCGCACATATCAGATCGTAACTTCCTGAATTATGGCCCCTGATTGTACGAAACATAGCATTTTTATCTTGTGGCCCCTCTATCTTATATCCCTTTTGATATTTGCGCATTTCAGACCAAAACTTTCTGGATTATGGCCCCTAAATGTACGAAAAATTGCTTGTTCTCTATCCATCTCTTGCAAAATGTGGGCGCATCTTGCCTGGCAACAGCTGGTTATCTATTACTGGTACAATTTTTTCAATAACTAGAACTTCATGGGTTTTCTCTGGTCCTATGCAAATTATTGAAAGGAAGATATACCATGTTAGTCCCAAATTTATTTGAAGTGCACTTAAACTCTCTCTCTCTCTCTCTCACTAATGGAGAAAGGCACCAGCCTGAGAAGACAATGTGAGCTATGAATATTTGATAATATAGTGAGAGAAATCTTGGGTGGAGTATTGTTTTGAAAAATAATGAGATAGATATTATATAATGACATTATTATTTTAGAAATGAGATTCCATAAAGAAAATAATAGAAAGTTTAAAATGATAAATTTGTGTTTTATAGAATCGTGGTGGTGGACCCAATTTTGTAGAAACAAAAACGGTAGGTAGATTTTACTTTATAGTAAACATTGCTATTAAAACAAATTTGCCAAATTAAAAGACCATGACAGAATACCTAATATTTTTGTATTTACAACTTTACATCATTCAAGAGAGGGAAATGGCATACTGGTAGAGTGGCCCACAGCTTCTATTATCTGTACTATATAAACCGACCTGTTTTAACAGCATGTTGCCACGCGGATCAAAACTTCGATTATGAGAAAAGTGCTCTCACGGGCTCGCTCATGCACTGTAAGCAGCAATCAGTCGCCCAAAATAGACATTCAAGTGACAATATTCATTCACTTATTTATCAATGAAGCCATGTAAAAAAATTATTCTTTACTCGTTGGACTTTTAAAAATAAGAAGTTAAGAACTAGATTAAAATTTTGGCTAAAACTCGGCGATTTAATTTCTAAGTTAGTTGATTGTAACCAATGACGTATATATTGTAACGGTTCTCGTTTCAGAGTCAACTCATGTAGTTTCGCCCTTTTTCTATCTTTTAAATCCACTCTCGTGGCAACATACCGACACTGCAAGACTGTGAAAGTTACTTTTATTTAACCGTAAAACTCTGTTGTTAGTGGGCGCTTTAGTTACTTTAGAAGTTACATTGTTGCTAGCTCTAAATACGCAGACAAAATTTGAGACTGGAAATTAATTGAACGAAATTATTTTCCCTATTCTCGATTAACCAGACGTGTATGATTAAAATAAAATTACGGTACTGGTCACAAGACTCGGATTCTAATCATTTTAGGGCGCTGCGAATTTGACCTCCGGTTTTGTGTCAAATTTAATAGGAGGATGTGCCATTATTGCTATGCCATTCGTGTTTAGTATCCTTATGCATTTGCCATTTCTAACATGGTGGTTACAAAACGTTTCAGTTATTATAAATCCAGTAACAACTCATTTTTGTAGAACTGAAATATAACCAAAAAGACGTGCATTGACTGTTTAATAATTATCATAGGCGTACGGGCTCGATGACAGTTAGGAGGGCAGAACCCGAAATGCCCGAAAAAATTTCGGTGTCGGTCTTCATCGAGAGGCTAAGAAGCGGAGCTTACCTTGTATGCCCCCCCCCCCCCAAAAAAAATTTTGGAATATTTGACGTTTTCCTGCTATTTCAGCCCGTGAACAAGCAACTTCAATGTGGTCTAATATAGCCTAATGACAATGGCTGACTCGAATTCCAATCAAAAGATCAACCGTTGGGAAAAAAACTGCCGCAAATGCTTTTTCCTGTTATTCCAGCCTGTGAACACAGCAACTTCAATTCGGTCCAATATAGCCTACCTGGCTGACCTGAATTCCAAACAACCAATCAATCATCGCGGGTTATGGGGGCCTCACCCTCCCAGAGAAAATTTTGAAAATTTAACCACCGCAAATGCGTTTTCTGCTATCCTAGCCCGTGAAAGCAGCTCCAAAAGTATCCAATGTTTTTGTAACCAAAATCCCATTCTGAATTCCAACCATCCAATCAGACTGTTGCAGTTGCATTCACAAATAATAATCAATGCCAGAAAAAAGTCGCACAAAGAATGGCTCTAGACAAAATGTTTTAATCCATAGTCAACTTAGTACAAATTCGTTGTATTCAATTAAAAGAAAAGTAAAATTAGTGTTTTATTAGGGATCGATGACAGTTAGGGAAGCAAAACTAGAAATGCCCGAAAAAATATTTGACGGCCGCAAGTGCATTTTAGTGCTATTCCAGCCCGTAAAATTAGTGTTTTATTAGATTTCGGGAACTTTATTTTGCCAAATAGATGAAATAATTTTTTTTTTCACTTCACCCGTCTGCCCGAAAATTCAGCTTGCCCGAAAGTTAGGGGGGCAGCTGCCCCCCTTGGCTCGTACGCCTATGATAATTATTAAAAATATTAAAACGCGGCACGATGCGTAAATTGTGCGTCTTACTTTCGAGAACAATAGCTATAAAACAGAAATTTCCAGATTGATACATAATACGACACAACCAACCATAAGTGGTAATTCAAACACAAAGGATATATTTAAACTTAAATTTCTCTAACATTTCACTAAAAGATCCCTATTGCAGAACTCCCAACTTATTATGTAGTCATTGTCATGCCGGTTGTTTTTAATAACAGAATTTTCCAGTCATATAACAGATCAAAGAATTTTTCGAGACGCATTGTCACGTATCGACTTCTATTTTTGGATTATCTGGCGCCACACATCGCCCAATCATATCAAAAAGCATGCAGTTCCATCTTGAAATGGGTTCAATTGATTTACGGTTTATTCTATAATTTATAACACGGTTTAGAGCACAATGTGTAGGATTCGCATTTTTGACTTCTAAGTAGATTCTTATACAGAATTCCGGATGCAATGCTAGACATTTGGACCACTGCTGCCGAACCGATTTGAAAATGCTTAAGGCTTTTTTTTCTTTGCGCATGTCGCGTGCTCCTCTGTTTTTGATGTGTATGATTTTTATTTTTGTGCTAATTATTTGAAACAAAATAGGATTATCATAAAGGATATTTAACATCTACAATATGAGTACGGTAAGCACTCTCTACGTACTGCGTTTGTAAACCACGAAATTCACCCCTTATTAGAAAGTTTCAACTATAGTATATTGCATGTAAACGTTAAAAAAATCAGCTCGAAATACAGACATCTCTCTCTCTCTCTCTCTCTCTCTCGTTAAAAAAATCGGCTCGAAATACAGACATCTCTCTCTCTCTAAGGGCTGCGCACGCATACAAATGTTAAATTAAATCGTTAAATGTACGTACGTAAAAAAACGAAGAAAGCAGACTGCGGAAAATAAGAATTCGTTTTCCAGAACAAAATTTGAAACTTTGATGTGACCAAGAAACATAACTCTTTTTAATGAAAAAATCTACCGCTGTAACGCTACTTGGGCGATCAACTTTTCCATATAATTAGAAAGTCCCATTCAAATGGCCAAATCACACAAATATCCAACTTAGCAATAGTTTAATTGTTAATGAATGATGATTTTAATGGTAAGTCTTATCATATTTGTTAAAATAAGCCCCAAATATAGCTCGTTTATTTGATTTTTGTTATTTGCACGAACCACTCTAATACTGGTTAGCATTGTAACTCTAAACATAAAGTTGCTCCAAAAGCCCAAATTAATTTGGTGTTAAGAGCTTTTGACCTTAAGAGGTTGAAATGTCATCTCAAGGGAGTTAATAACAGCTTAGTATGTTCTGTACTTGATGTGAGTTAGGAACTTTAATACAAAATCCTTTCATAGTTCTTTAAATTCCATTACCAGAAAATTACTTGTCAGTTTGATTTTGATTATTTCTTAAAGTCGTTGATCTCAATTGTGCTTTTTTTACGTCTTAATCTACGCTAAAATGTACTAAAATTCATTATTTAACTCCCAGCTTGGAATCAATCAGATCAAAAATATTTTTCAAAAGACTACAAAACAATCATAATTGACATTGCTTGTTTAAATTGTCTTCAAAGACGCTGAATGTTGCAAATTTGCAGTTCATGTCTTACTGATTTATTTTTGCAGGAAGAAGATTTTATTAGAACCGTAAGGGAAAGTGCCCAGATAGAACAGACATATAAAGCTTATTTTGATCTTATACTTGTTAATGATTCATTTGAGCAAACCTATAGATCGCTAAGAAAGGCGTTAACATCTTTAACATCTACACAGCAATGGGTTCCTGTCAATTGGGTGTATTAATATGTCACTAATACTGAACAACAAAATGAACTCTCAAATTTTTCATTACTTTAAATACCGGTACAGTCTCTAAAATCATGCAAGAGCTGTTGATTGGTGCTCGTGCTGTTTTGTATTTTTTGACGTCTGGCTTTGTGGAAATAATTAAAAGGACTAGGCATTGGACTATTCACCTCAGTGCAACTCATCGGGGTATATTGATAAACATTGAAATTGGGATCATTATTTTGAAAATTATTAATGATTAAATATTGATTGTTTTATATATATGTTGTTGTTCAGTATCTTTTGTGCCATTATGGTCAAACCAGATTCTTACCAATTTATTACATATTACAAGTTTTCAGTGACTAGTTAAATGAAGTAAGCATTATTAGAATTCCTAACCCTTTTCACATTCTCTTTAATTAACTAGCATGATATTATTATATATACATGTGTGTGTGTAAATTACATAAAGATAATGCAAGAATTTTGAATGACCAAATTAGTTTATAGTGCAATGAGTGTTTAGGTGGTTAAAACTTGATTTTGTCCTGCATTGATATCATAGCACAAATTAGTTGACCATAGAAGGTTGTCAGTCATTTAATGGCACAATAATTTCATTTTTTGATAGATATTTTGTAAAATTTTACACAAAGATATTCTATATATTCATATATAACATCAGTTTTTATCCTCTATAATTTATCCTCTGATGTATATTTCGGATAAATTATTTCAAAACTTAATGCTCAAAACAACTACTTTTGTATTGTCAATTTGGAAAAAAAGTTGTTCTTTTTAAGCTTTAATCATGAGTGTGCATACCTCAAAACAAGATATTTTCATTGGAAACTAATTGACAAAATTGGCTTGGGTGTACTTTGAAGTGGTAGATGACATCTATAAAATAAACTCCTGAGATTCTTGGAGAGATGATTTTTGAAGCTCATATTTTTATTTCGCCAACTTAATGATCGTTAATATCAAAATCACTCTTCTCATTCTTGCTACATAAAATAATTTTAAGATTCTTTTGACAACAAGAGTACAAGATTTTTAGTTATATTATTTGTTAGACTAATTAGTATTTTGAAAAAACCTTGCTTTATGCTAGAAATGGCAATAATATTCTGCACACATATCATAATGTGAATTGTGAAAATAAGCATTTTTGGTAATAGTATTTAAGTGTTTTGTCTAGTAAATAAATTGCTTGTAAATAGGATTTATTATAGAGAGGGTGTACTTTTTAATATGTAAACTAGCCCAAATTGTACTATTCTGAAAAGTTAAATGAATAGCTTTTTTCTGTAGGCCTATTTAAAGCACAGCAAGTGCAAAAGTTGGAATAGATAAAACGAGATACACAATTATGTTGAATTCTTATGTCCACCAAAATTGACATTGAACATATATTAAATGTATTTTAATTATCTTGGTAAAAAGCTTATCAAGAGAAACATGGTAAGATTGTTCAACTTTTGAGTAGAAGGAAAAGTTGTGTTTCTTAAATTTGAACATTCCATTTAGATCATTCTATTTTTATTATTATCAAATTATATTCTTATATCTTATTGCATGTGGCCAGCTTGTTATAATTTTTATATTACATCTATATACATATATATATTCATTTTATTAATTTTTTGTTGATTTTTATAAATATCTAGTTAATAAATATACCGTACTTCAGCCGATACTAAAGTATCAGATTGGGCAATGATATGCATATGCAGAATATGCAGGATTAAGAATTGATTTGACTTGTGCCTTTACTAAATAATTTGAATCTTTTTGTATCATTTATTTAGTTGGTCATAATGTGATTGAAAAAACTTATCAACCAGAGGTTTCTATTACAAGTAATAACCATGCCATATAAATTCATATCATAGCTGTAATCTACAGGCTTAGTGCCTTTAAATAAGAATTATTCAATTATGCACTAGTAATTAATTCCCTCCTCTAATAACCATGTTATATGTTGAGTCTATAAATATATAGTTTTGATAAAACATTGTACATTTACATACAATTTTACTACTTCAATTATCTTTTCTCTTCAACCCACAACTTGTATAGGATCTAAGGGAAAAGCAAAGTGCAGATTTGTTCCGATCTGGTGTGTTTAAATTGTTTATTGTTCTTATCTAATTGACCAGAACAGTGCAAGTGGCTACACTCACATTAAGAGTTGTTGTTTTTTAAATTGAATTCAAGTGCTAAAAATTTTATTATTAGTTTATGAATCTGAGAGTAAGAGAGTCATACATGTATGTAAAATAACAATTATTATTTAACATTTGCATTATCCACACTTTCTAAATTGAGATAAAAATAGGTACATTTTTCCTGAACCATTGTCTTTATGTTAACATCTGCTGGTACCTATTTATTAAGTTACTACATTTCGTAGTCTGCCTTCCTGCAATGGCCTCATCTAGAATACAAGAATGATTGGTTCTTTAGGTGAAGGACATTCTGATTAATGTTCCAAATAGGTACTGGAGCTTTTCATTCGCCTGTGTTAAATTTTAAACCTACCAATTGGATTTATGGTTCAGGGTATATTATATTGTCATAGGTGTTAAAGAATGTATGAGAATATACAGTAATGGTTAAATATCAGGCATTGTATATCTAAAACATTAAATTAATATCATAATTTTATTTATCAGATAAATGAAATGCCATCATAAAGCAATTTACATTGTATTTATTAAGATCCAACATATTCTTATTACCATATCAATAGATGACAGAACAGCTATATTCAGTAAAAATAAACCTGGATATATTTTAAAATAGTAAGAGGTTCTATTAAATACAAATTGGCAAGAAATGGAATGAAATTTTGTTTTAAAATGATATATGAAAAGTCCATGAATTTGTCTGGGCCCTATAAATTATCTGTGTGGAATGAAGTTTATTTTCATTTCAGATGAATCATTCCATATCATTGTATTAATTATTATCATTTAAACTTCTCATTATAATTATATTATAAATATGTTTGAAAATAAAATTTAAAACTGGAATCCATGATTTTAATTCTCCTTGTATGATCAGATTCAACCAGATTCAACCATTTAAGTAGGAAAAAGAAAAAGGATATTTTCTGTTAATTGTCATGAGGACAGCTGGAATAGGCTACAACTAAAGCAATTGTTTGAATTAAATTTTATTTTCACCCTATAGGCCTACTAGAATTAAGTTTTTTAAACACCCTATACTAGAATTAAACATACATTATGCAAGAGCTAAATCTTTCTATTGCAGGTCTTTCTTTAGGCCTGAAATGTTTTCTAAATTATTAATTAGACATTTATTAACCTATCCAGACCATAATCAACTCTAGATGGCATCGCTAACCTGCGATCTTTAGTAGATTATGAGCCGATTTACTGCATAACTTTCCTTCACAATTTAACGATTAAATGGATAATCAAGACTATGCTGTTTATTGTACTGACTTTAGTAATGATGATCGAGGCTATGCGGAAATTTTAATCGCTTAGTTCTCGGTTCATAGTGGATCAATTTGAATGAAATTTTCAGCAAATTGCCTTTACATTATCAGGTTTTTAACTATTATAGTGATAACTGCCAATTCGTTATCGAATCTTCCATAATGTATCTTTAAGTTTTTTAAATACTACATGGAGCGAAAAATAAGTTGGTGGGGGGCGGGGTGATTGCCAGCCTTATGAATTAATTATTTCATACTAATATAACCATTGGCCGTTAGTCTGGGTTTTGTTTGCGTGCAGACTTGAGTTCAAATAGAATGAATTTATATTTCTGTCTTGGTCTAAATGATACCGTCATGTAAATAGAAAAAGGAATGCTGGTGCGAATAGTGCACACGGAACGTACAGATTCTTTCAACTTCAATTGTTGACAAAACAACCCCAAGAACATTGCCTGACGTTTGAATTGTTGAACTTCACAGGCAACTGTTGACAAAAAGATTTTAGAAAAATAAACCAACTTTGTAGACTTGCTTCATGAAATAATACATGTTATTTTGTACTCCTGTTACTTCGGGACAATAAATGGATCGGCATGCTACTAAATAATGTAGTGTGTCATTGATTTTAAACCAGAACTACATTTGAAACAATGTCCTTGCACGCCTTGCTCAGAAGATTTCATCGAAATAAAGACAGCATATTTTTTGTGAGTATTATTTGCCAATATAAAACATTTGTCTTGTTCTATTAAACTATAACTGTATCACCATCGATAACCACCAGTAAACTATAAATTTCTTTCAATTGTTAGGTGGGTATCTGTCGAAAAAAGACACTGTTAAAAAATCGGCTAACCCATGATATAATGTTATAAGACAGTGAATTAGAGCTGCCAATTAGTTTGATGCGAACTTCTGTTACCCTGTATTTTGTTGGGGGTGCGGTGGCGGGGAGGTGTACATTACCCGGTAAGTAGATCGACCAGGCACATGTACTAAAACTAAAAAAAAAGTGGGTAAAAACGTGTCATCTTCGGGAAAAATCACTGAACTCTTTCCCCATTATCTGTACTTTTTTTTGTATTACTTATAAACTGTGTGGTTAATGTACTTCGCCTCGGGGTAAGTCCATTTTGTACGATCCTTGCAGTTTCTATTCTCGGGTTGTGGGTTTTTTTCCTTGCCTGAAAACGTCATATTTATAGCAATTTTGAGCGTCATTATTTGAGCCCAAGTTTGTTTATAGATAAATCGTAGAAATTTCGGGGTTGAACAATTCAAAAACTGACAAACCGTTGACAATAGACAGGGCCTTGGATTCCGCCTTTCCCTCTGCCGCCAACAATCAATAGCTATTAAAATAATATGGGGAAGGTGGGCGTAAAATTAATCGATATGGGTGGAGTTGATATGCCATGGCTGTTGTCAAATTAAAGCAGTGCATTGATGAATTTTACATTATAAATCAATAAGGAAATTCATAACCTCAAAGCTTTCTATATCTTTATCAGAATCATTGATTTCCAACAAAATTATTGATTTCCAATATGATAACTGTTCAATTGACTCACAGCCCATATAATTAAGCGCCTTTGCGTAAAACCACCCTACTTATACTGTATTTACCGTATATTAATTGAGTGAATAAATAAATAAATTAGACCGTGTATACGATTTTGGGAGCAAACAGTATTTTTTGAAATAAGTCTGACTTTCAGAGAAAAACACTTTAAAGGGCGTATGGCTCTATATTTTTTTTTATCTTGAAATAGACAAAAATGGTTCTAAAGGCATGTATGAATGTATGTAAAGTGATTTATGTTCAATTTTTGAAAGAAAATCTGTAATTTCAAATCAATTATGTTAGGTGAAAAACATGAACAGTTCAAATTGAACGACAGTCGTTTACGCTTGCTTAGTGCATTTTACACGTTTTTAAAATTATTATTTTGTCGTTTGTGAATCAGCCTTTACTAATTACTTCCACGTTGTGTTGTATGTTCTTATTTGTTCATTACAAAATGGCACCCGAAATCATAAATACACGACAGTTCGAATTGAACGGCAGTCGTTTACGCTTGTTTAATGCATTTTACACGTTTTTAAAATTATTATTTTGTCATTTGTGATTCAGCCTTTACTAATTACTTCCACGTTGTGTTGTAGGATATGTTTTTATTTGTTCATTACAAAATGGTACCCGAAACCATCGGTACACGACTCATGTACTGATTATAAAATGTTAATTGTGTCTTAAATATAGGACCCTATAGTTTCACGGCAAGATAACAACAACATTAATATTGATTGAAATTGATCAATATTGAATTCCAATTCGTGTTTTTAATTTCGAATATTATGGAAAATAATGAGTAAGAGACTTCTGCTCCTTTAACTGTTCTGACAGCCACTGTCAGACGTTATATTTTATTACCGACGCACACACGTGTATATCCTAAGCTCAGTTTTAAGCCGAACCGTTCAGACGGCCAAGGTAAACCAGCTTAGAAAATCGCCTCTTAAAAAGACAGGTATGAAGCTGGTGATTATAAACTGCTTTATTTGTTCAAACGACAAAGTTAATTAACAACCGCCGGCGTTTTTAAACCAGCTTAACCGTTTGGAAGGTAAAGCTCAAGCTAGCCCAAGGAAATTAATGGTGCATTTATAGTGGAAAGAATTCGCTTACAAAGATTTATCAGATTTTATTTTTTCTTCTTGTTTTTGCATTTTGTCGGCCTTCAAATGTCACATAAATTCGCGCCATATTGAATACCGCGCACGGAGGTTTAATACACCACGCGGTCAATGATATTTTAATAGTTAGCATAAGTATTGTGTATATACAAATATATATTTTGTTACTGAAAAATTCACTAAACCATTAACCTTTTCCAGATGTCACAACCCATTGTCTGTCTGTCACGGGCACGTGTTAAATATATATTTCTACTAAGGTCTGCAGGCTTGATTATAGGAAAGAGGGAATTGGGCAGATGATATAGAACATTGTAGCCAATTTATTTACATGGTAAGCCTTCTTAACATCTTTTGAAATCCGGATTTGATTTACTGATTTAGCAAGAATTTATTCACTATATAAATAAATTAAGAACTACTATCTTTTGTCAGTGTCCAGTTGCGTTTGTGTGTGGATGGGGCGTATAGTCGAATGTTTTTTTCCCGCATTGGTATCCCGGTTTGGTTCCATAGGTATGAAAGTCGAGTGAATCAGTATGGGGTTGGGTATCTGTTTGGTACCTTATTACAGCGCCGCTTATTTTTTTTCCAACTTTCTATTACTTCTATAAACCCTTGATTTGGTGTTAAAACTGTAAATAATTGTAAAAATGTCAAGGATTGGGTCTCTGATTTTGTAAGATTGAAAAAGGGAAGGTACCGAGCCAAAGTAGCGCCGGCTCCGATACCCCATTGCAGAAACTCTAGGTTATCACTAGCCCTTTATTTTGAGCATCGCAAGCTATGAATCCAACCATTAAACAAGTGTACGACAAAAATTGCATTAACATCAATGAATAGATATGTATGTCTTGATGTTTGCCCAACGACGAGTTCGTGTCAATAGAAATTAATGGGCGAACCAATAACAAGATTTTCACGCTATTCGCCAGTTTATTGGTATCTTAACTTTGTTCTTTATATATTCATAAAATGACTAATTCTGAAAAATGACATTTATTAAAATCGGGATTCGTGCTCTGATAATCAGCGATTGCTAGAAATTAGGTCTGTGGGGCTGCAAAAGAAAGTCGTTCTTATACGACAGAAACCCGAGCCTCCGAGGTCCACCCATTGGCGTGTACGAAAATTCCCCGTTTACAGTTGGGATTGGAACAATCTATCTTCTGATCTTTACACATAAATATAAAATGTTATTAGAAAATGATAAATTATGTTTTTGAAGGTTAGACTCGTTTCCCTATACACACACGGGCCGGGTCCCGGCCCTTTAACGTAATGTTTAGCTTTAAAATTTGTATTTACTATCTAGTTACCATGTAAATTTTGTTGGCGTATGTTGTTGTCGTTATATATAATGAGCCATGTACAGGGACTGGGAATAATATACGGTTTACTGGTTTATTCTGTGAAATGGGCGATAACTTGAAATTTGGATTTTTGATACAAGCGGGTGGCACTGTGTATAATATCCTAGGTGCCTTTGGTAATAAAGTGATATTTATTTCTTTTAGCTACTCTAAAATATTATTTTAATATCGAACCCGCTTTTCTTTCATACAATAAATTCTTTTGTTCAATATTTTGGTTTTATTTCAACAGGTGCCAAAAATCACAGTTGACCCTCAACTAAAACAACAAGACGAAATTGACGAAAAGAACAGATCAACGAAATGCCGACATCTTTAGAATTGTAAACATATCTTGGCGGGGACATTGTAAAAGATTGAAATTGTTGTGGAATTTTCAAATCTTTGTGTACATCAATAGAAATTCTTCGGAGCGTGTTTCATTGATTATAAGTGTGTGTTTATCTCGTGATAAATGCGACGACACAATACAAAATGACTGGATTCCAATAAAATCCGACTGCGCCGTGGTAATCCAGTGCATCGTTGATCTTGAGGGAATTATAACATGCATGTAGGTTGTTTCTAAAGATTGGAATACTCTAATTGACAGATTTTCATAAAAGGCACCGTTCTTATTTAGTGAATATTTGCGCTTTCTCGGTCTAATTAGGAATTGTACAGTTTGAAAAAGTTGTATCTATTTTATATTTGCAAAAATCGTGGATTTAGTAACTGGGATATGAGAACAGGGAGATGGATTCAATTTTAGCTGGCGAATTTCTTACGATGTATTTTTTCATGGAGTTGTCGTTGAATGTTCAACGCCAAAGAAAATGAATTCTTGGCCTTTTTTTGGGAAACATGTGGATATATTTTTTATAATTTTAAAATGTTTGAGTGTTGATTAAGGTGTGAAGAAATTGCAATATTTCAGCAGATATTGCCAATGTCTGCAACAATGAGACGAATCTCCTTTAAAAAATTCAAAGAGCTTCAGCGTTTTGTGTTTGGATTCTGTCTTGGATATTTTATGGTTCAATGGTTATCTCTCTCCATTCTTCGAATTCATGTGAAGAATTGCCGAAATTTCTTTCATCCATCGGCAACAGATGCCATAACCGAAACTTTAATTCACGAATCAGAAGACAAGTTCCTGTTAGTAGCTGTCATGACAACCAGAAAATACTTGGAAACTCGGGCCGAAGCTATGTATAATACGTGGGGACAACAAGTGCCTGGGAAAATTATGTTCTTTGTTGGAGGTACAACAGCGTACAATGGAACTCTGCCGGTTGTCCTTTTGAAAGATATCAAAGAAGACACATACCCGCCCCAAAAGAAATCCTTCACAATGTTGAAGTATGTGACCAGTCATTTTCTCAATGAATACGAATGGTTCATGAGAGCCGATGACGATGTTTTTGTCAAGACAGATCGTCTAGAACATTTTTTAAGATCTGTAAACAGTTCCAAGCTGTTGTATATGGGTCAACCTGGCACTGGAACCAAAGAAGAAAAGGGTAAACTTGGTCTTCTGAACGATACGCCATATTGTTTAGGAGGCCCGGGTGTATTTTTTACAGGACAGACGTTAAGTATACTAATGAATCATTTCTCTGATTGTTTGAATAGCACAGCAACACGTCATGAAGATACTGAGTTAGGGAGGTGTATTCAAAAACATGCTGGCATCGCTTGCACTAGTTCTTTTGAGGTACGTATAGTGAGCCCAATCAATAGAGACTTTTGGCAAGCGGAATTTTCCCATCGGTATTACGTATCCGCATCGTATATGTAATACGTTGCGTCAATGCAGTTTTAGAGTTTTGGCCGACTTTCGCGTCGCTTACGTATGCGTCGCTGAGCTGATCTTAGTTCTATTACAGCATTACCACCAGTACTAGTCAAGTGCCTCGCCTACAATTTCCCGGACAGTCGCTTGGCTATTAAAAAAAAATAACTCCGAATGTGATTAAAAAATCTTCGACTTCGACTTGACAGAAATTTTTGGTTTCACTAATGTATCAATTCAGAAAGTTTATACCCCTTTACCATAGAATTTACAGATTTGCAAAGTCCCGCCTCCCTAAATTTAGCACGTAGATCAACCAGCATGCACACAGACAGGGACAGTAATCAAAATCCGAGAAAAACCCACCAAAAATAATGATTAAATTCCTGTCGTTATCATGGTTAAAATCACATCAAATATACACCTTCGTGTTCCAGAATAGTACATAGTTTCATAAAAACGCTATGATACATTTCAGCGTCTAAAAGTAGCAAAAAGGACGGTAAAAAGACAATAGTGTTACAAGCTGTTCCATACGGACTGTCGTATCCGTGTGCCGTATCACGTATGAGAAATACACACACATTAATGGCGTCACACGCAAAATCCATACGGATACGCGATACGATCCAGGAATCTACGCTTGCCAAAAGTCTCTACTGATTTAGTTCCCTTGAACCTCCCGGATGCCTGTTTTATTTTAGTATAGTAAGGCAATAGCTGAAAATGTTGAATATATACATAATATATACAAAATTATTCATACAATAACAAAACAAAAATTATACTTCTTGTATTGAATTTATAATGGAATCCCAAACGCATTATGCAAAGCAACACTATCTATTAAATTTACACAAATGTTCTTTTTATGGCACGGCCACTGTGTTTACTAACCAAATAGTCATACAACGACCGAAGTATTTTTCTGACGAGGTTTTAAACCCTATCCATTCACTGTCAGGTGTTTGGCGATTCTCTAGTTTTACGGACGAAATAGAAATGACCTACCTATTGGTGGTCCTGGTCGTTAAGGTATGTGGTTTCTGAAACGATTCCAACTAGCTACCAATCCACAATACATGCTAAGAAGTACTTATCTATAACATAACTATACGATATGGTTTGTTTTTGTTTTGTTGTTTTTCAGTTCACTCGATTATTCTACCAAAATTATGGAGGTAAAAATGGATCTTTTAATCACAAACTGGGGTTAACAGAAGAAAGGGCCATAACTCTCCACCCAATAAAACAACATTCTCATATGTATCGTCTCAACAATCATTTCTCACTTCTAAGATTGGACAGATTGAATAAAAAAGTGAAGCAGCTCGCAGAAACATTTCAACAATTAAGTCATATCATTGATAATACGGAGAGTAAACACACGAGTCCTAATAAAATAAAATCTTCAGAAATTAGGAAGAGATTACGGCAGTTAGAAGGCTGGTCCGAATTGCACACAGGGGATAACCCGAACGATTGGTTAGAGACAGAACGTGGAGATATTTGGGATTTTATCAGTCAGAATAAACACATATACTCAAGGTATAATGTATTTATAAATCCCATTGATGACGTATCAAGGAAGGGCAAGGTCCTATCTCTAAACGCTGCTAAAAAAGCTGTCGGTGGCGACCAAAAATACCGCTTCAAGAAATTCGCAGGGTTTTCATACCAGCGTTTATCTTTTGGAAAAAGAATGGAAAATATAATACCAGTAAAAACGTCTCCGAATTCGTCCATTTCTGTCCGAACTGTACACAGATTTTCTGGTGTGGAATTCACTGAAAACATTGATTTAGTTGACAATCAAGATGTCATACGTCCAACAATATGGATTATTGTACCGTTGTTCAAGAGATCAAGAATGTTCGCCTCGTTTCTTTCATCACTAACTCGAGTCATTGAAAAGTTTCAGGGAAATATCATTTTGTGTGTAGTTCTTTACGTCGACGATGACGATGAGTACAAAAATTCGCAACGTTTTGCTGATGTTATGCATAACTTTTTAGACAAATTGAAAATTAGATTAACTATTTTAAATGAACCCTTTTCGAGGTCCAAAGCCATAAATATGGGAATGCGAAGCTTGAAAAACGACTCATTGTTATTAATCATGGATGTGGATATGATTTTCAATAGTCGGTTTTTAAACAGGGTAATTTTAAATACAAAACACGGTTACCGTGTATATTTCCCTATATATTTTAGTCAGTATAGTTCAAATATTATTTGTTTTCCCAATAAAACATGCGATTTAGAGATCGTAAACTTTGACAATGAGCACGGAACTTGGCGCTTCTTCAGTTATGGGATTTTGTCTATTTACAAAGAAGACGCTATAAAACTTAGAGGATTTAAAGAAGAAATCAAAGGCTGGGGAAAAGAAGATGTAGACTTTTATGAAAAGTGTTTGAAATCCCATCTCCATATCTTCCGTTCGGCCGATCCATATCTAATTCATATTTATCACCGTAGAGACTGTGATCAAACTTTGCCAAAAGACCAACTTACTATGTGTGTTCAATCACGTAGTCAATTATATGGTTACGAAAAAGATTTGTTTAAAATTTCTAAAGAATTAAAATTAGTAGACTAATAAAACACATTAAACGAGTAAAATCTATCGTTTCTATCCTAACTACTCAGCACATATACTTTTGTTGGGTGTGTTGGATTTTACTAGAAATTTTGGCAGAATAAATTTGAATTTCGAATGATAAGTGAATAACTTGAAATGTTGAATGAATAACTTGAAATGTCGAGATAAAACTTGAATTTTCAACAAGCTACCTTGAATTTTTATTTCTGGATTTCAACAGAATTTGTAGTTTCGATATGAATTTTGACTATGTAAATTAATTTATTAACTGCTTGGTCCAATTAGGCGCGAATTTAACATTTGCCGGGCCAGTATAGTCCAAACTTGAGTACAATATAATATCACCACGGCCTCTTGATTGTCCTTCGAAAGCTTTTAAAATTGGGCATAGGATCTGTAAGAGGCGCCATATTCAGACTTTCGGCAGAAGAGTAAGATGTTAAACCCCATTTTTCTAGAAGACTTTATTATGCTTAGTTTTATTCAATGAAGTCTCGTATTTTGATAATATCGAGAATAAAATATTGTACATCATTGTTGCGTTATAACATTGCTTCAAGGTGCAGATAACCTTGTAACGATTAAAATATTTTCAATGGATTATTGGACACCACTACTAGAAAGTCGCATTGTTTACTTCTCTAAATCCAAACTTGCAAATATCTGAAATTTTGACAATTTTCCCATTATCTATTGTCTTTGTCGTCGCATTTACAGTAGCCCAAGTGTTTATGTTACGAAGACATAAAACTTTCGCTTGATTCTCGTGGGAAATTGTGAAAACAGTTTTAAACTATAAAAGTCGACTCCAACTTAATTTGCTCTAACGCGAAATAATTTTTTCTAAAGTTTCTGTTCAATTAAAGAATAATTCATATTCAAGCTAATTAAATCTCATGATGTAAAACTGAACATGAATTGGTTAGGCGAAAATAAATGAGATTGGTGGATGGGGATGGTAATATTATTCCTAGAAACCTGACGACAATGGTATGGAAGAGGCTATAAAACATTTTTTTTTCAAAAACACATTTTTAGGCCCATAAAACGTTTTTTGCCCAAAAATCAATTTCTTGCAACCGCAGTTTATTGTCTCTTCCATAATGTGCTAGGTATTAGTATTCTACGCATCCTGGCAAAAATTTAATTTTTTAGAACACGGGAAGAGCCTGCTAATCTATCCTAGTTGGGGACGTGGCATTTTGGGGCGTGTCTGTTAGGAGTAACCCACCGCACAAACTGTCTGGCAATGGTCATTTATGATTCCTGTGGTGGTACTGAACAACTCCAAAGCTGTTTTAGGTGGTACAGATTTCAGCTAATCTAGCCTAGCTGTGGTCTGGAAATTAGATAACTCTTGTCAGGGATACTCCACCACTACAAATTTCTGGCAATTAAATAGCTCTGTCAGGGGTACCCCACCACTAGAAATGTCTGTCGGATTGTTTATGTAATACCTGAAGATGTACGGTACACTGCTGTATGATTTTCATGTGTTACACTTTTGAGTAAATCTAGCCTAGTTGGCGGCATAGCATTTTGGGCGTGGAATACCACACCCACTACCAGATACCCGGCAGACTTACATTCTGATGATGCCAGATATGCATGCATTGATACCATATATAGGAGAAAATTGACACACTTTCCAGCTAGGTTGCCCCCGCCTCCGGGCTCCTGGTCTGGGAGGGGGTTGACGATAATATACGACCACATTCTTCTTCTCATGAACTTAAAAACTATGGAGGGGATGGAAGGGAGTGACGACAATATATATACGACCACATTTGAAATACATCACGGACAAAGGAGAACAGAATTTATAACTTTGTATTACGCTTAAGCAGGTGAAAAGGAAACAATCACTTGGTTGCAATGTTACTTTCAACGCTATTGGCAAATTCTGTAGATATTACTTTTAATCATTATTGCTCAAACTTTATGCTACCATGGATCATATGCTACAAATCAACTCTAACATGTTCCACAGCCACAAATTTCTCGGAGAGATAGCCGCGTCCCGACCCCACCATAACGATATGAATTTTGGGTTTGTGTAAGCACCTGCAGAATCTTGTTTCTCATTCATAATCAGCCGCCACTAATGCCCCTGATATAAGCAAATCAGTGGACAAAAAAAATAATGTCTTAAAGTTATATTTAAATCATTAGAACGAGTCGTATTTTCTTGCATTGTTTTACAGTAATAAATAATTTTCCCTATCGACAGGGTAAAGGGGCCACAGAGTATAGTTTCGCCCTTCTGCCCTTTATCTTTGAAACAGGGCAAATATAGGTTGCCAGGCAACGAAACATACGCTCGCAGTCACAGATCGTCTATTTTGCCGTGATGGAGACCACATGCATTGACAACTAAGAAGATAATTATAAGGAATATTATGATGAGTGGAATAATTCTAGTGAAGTAGTCGAGACAAAGGGTAATGGTTCTACTTTCAAAGTAAGGGGGGTTGTATGGCCGAATGGTTAGCGCGCGCTTTTACAAGAAAAAAAAAAAAGCACGCGCGCGCTGTATCATACGGTCTGTCATTGAGTCAACTGGCGGGGTTTCGATTCCCCGGTTGTACGTGACAAGGAGTAGGGTCGCCTGTCCAACCTCGTGGGTTTTCTCCGGGTCCTCCGGTTTCCTCCCACTGCTAAAGACCCCTACGCGCAAGCGAATGATTGAAATAAAATTGAACAATGTTTTAGTCCCGAAATGACCTAGTTTGTGTCGAGTGGACGTTAAACCCCATTTCTCTCTCTCTACTTTCAAAATAAAGGGACATAACTCTGGAAGGGGTCATAGAAAATCGTTGAAAATAAATGGGCGTCTGAAGGTTGACAATCCAGATTAATTTTGAAACAAAGAGGCGTAACAAAGTACTAACAAATATTTGACAATAAATTAAGAAGTGGGCGTATAAATAAATATTTAAATATAAGGTAAAAACACAATCAACCACTTTGAGAATATCCTTATAACGTAATAATAGCTACATGTATGAGCAAAGTTTTAAGAAAGACATAGTGAAAAAAGTGTCAAATATACGAATTTCATAGGTACTTTCTCGGCTAACACCGGGATCGAACCCTGGACGTGTTGGATAGTGAGCCTTGCTCACTGGGCGACCGTCGCTCATAGATCACTAATCTAATGGTTTTGAAAGAACCCGTATAACTACAGGTAATTAAAATAAACTTTTTTTTTTTTGATTATAAACTAATTTACTTCTCCTCTAAACAAAAAAAACCCCACATGTACAGTCGGCTCATAAAGCAAATATTTAAAAGTACATAGTATAACAATGAACAGAGAGCATTAACACGTATTAGTATAGTTAAAAAATATACGGAAGAGTGTCGTTCCCTGCTTTCCACCGTTTGTTATTAGTTGTTTTGTGGTCGGAGTTTTGTTGCTGTTGTTGCAATCGAAGCAATTTATATTATAGTGGAAACTGTCGATTATACTGAATTTGAATTTGTTTTATTATCATTTAAGTAAGATATATTTGTGGACTATTTACTGTAATTTAAATAATTAGTATTCGTGGATTTTCTTGTCAGTGAAAACTATATTTTGTTGGATTCGCAGCCAGTGGTTTTTGTGTCCATTATAGTCTTTTTTCTAGTTTGTGTATAAAGAGGGCTTCTGGCATAACTAAGTGGAGAGCTATATTTATCCGAAACACTAAATATTTTATACATATGTAGCGGATATATTAATTAGTTTTGACATCATTACGCAGTTTAAAGAAATGTCCCACACATTTTGGAACATCTGTCTGAAGACTACGGTAAACATATAGTTGAATATATCCAAGAATGCCGATTGATATACAAAAAGTACAACGAAAATTTGTTTGCTACGTAAATTCTTGATATAAAGGCGACATTTCTAAGCAATGTCTTCATTTCATTTCTGGTGGAAAACGTTATTCCTTCACAGCTGTATTTTTAAGAATATTAAGGGTTTAGTAGAGGATAAATGTAAATAACCAGTGATTCTCCTGGTGAAAATTATCACAAAGAATATCATAACAGTAACACTGTAACAAATAACCCATGAATTATTCCCAGGCGTAACTTAATCACAAGCGGCAGGTGGCTATTAAAAGTGAGGAATTTTCCAAAGATGAGACGATAAAATTATTTTGGCAGAAAATTACCAAATTTCAAGAGTTTTGCAATAGAATTCTAAAAATATGGTTTGGCAGAGGACAGATTTGAAGTGTTATCTTGTTACAAGTGTGAGTACATAAACTGGTTATAAATAAATGCCGTGTTAAAATAGTTCGTGTATTAGTAGATCTATTTATTTAAGTTTACTGTAGTATCTCACATAATAAGCAGAACAAATATATATTTTTGGTTCAAATAGATCTCTAGTTAAACATACATTATGCAAGAGCTAAATCTGTCTATCGCAGGACTTTCTTTCGGCCTGAAATGTTATCTAAACTATTAATTAGACATTTATTAACAAAACGAGACCATAATCGACTCTCGATGGCATCAGATACTCGAGATTTTAACTAGATTAAAACGGTTCGCCATTTAAAAATTTAATTTAAAAATGGAAAAGCGAGGCTAAGCCCCGATTCTACCAGTGCGCTGGTTACCACTGTGCACACATCTTGTCAAAACTACAAACAATGATAACTTGACTGAGAATGAAGTAATTTGAATGAAATTTTAAATATTTTCGTTTTTACCGTCTATTTTTGAATTATTATAGCAAGAATGACCAACTCTTTATTAAACTTTTAACTAATATATCTTTAATAATGGAAACAATGGAACCATTACTGAAATACTGACTGATCAGGTATCTTGCGAATGCTGTCATTTAGAATCGAAGCAGGATTTCCTGAATCAGGTGAGGCACAATATTTTAAACTTTAACTGATATTACAGGCAGTATGTGCGGAAGCATCAAACCTCCACACAAATATTTTAGAGTTAAATACACCCAAAGTAGCATTATTTTGATTGGGTAATTTGTAACGACCCAAAGGTTGCGGGGGCTTTTTTAAATTCGCACGGGCCCAAATTTGATGGCTTTAAACATTCACGGGGTCATACTGGTTAATTTAATACCACATGTGGGGCCCAAATTCGCTCCGGGCCCAATCGATGGCCTAAAACATTCACGGGGTAATGCTGGTTAATTTGATACCACATAATTATGTGGAGGTGGAGCGCGGCGACGAAGCGTGATTCGCCAGGGGCCCAGACCCAATTCGCTTGGGGCCCAAATTCGAGAGTCACTTTAATCAAATCATTCTAGAAAACGACACATTAGTGATTAATTCATCACAATCCAAGACATTACGAGAAGGTTTAGGGTCTGTACACAGTCTATACATCAGTATCTGGTGTGTCCACCGCGAGTGTCAATAACAGCAGCGCAGCGTCTGTACATGGAGTGGACCAGGCGATTGATGAACGCCATTGGCACCTGGAACGACACTCTCAGAAAAGCCTGGCGCAGTCCATCGGCTGTGTTTGGTCTCGGTACGACGTTATTAAGTCTCCTCTGAATTTCATCCCAAAGATGTTCAATCAGGTTTAAGTCCGGACTAAGGACTGGTTGCCAGTGCATAACGTTGATACCTTTCTGCTGTAGAAAGTCCCGAGTAACTCTGGCGGTGTGGGCACGGGCTTGTCATGCTAGAAAACGTTTCGAAGACGTCCGAAATGTGGTATGACGTGGGGTCTGAGAGCTTGATCGATGTAGCGCACTGCTCCAGTTTTCCATTGCCTGTGTCGCTAGTTCTGGTGTTGTTGGGCAAACTGTAGACGTTTACGTCGATGGCGAGGGGTGAGGATCGGTCCACGGTAAGGTGTACGGCAATGGATGCTCTCTCTGGTGAGACGTCGGCGCACTGTATCGGTGCTGATGGGTCTTCCATGTGTTCCTACTGTTTGATGTGCTGTCTCAGATGTCTGTGTGAAGGGATTCTGCACGTGCTGTCGCACAACATGGCGGTC